CCCTACTCTAGAAAACGGTAGTGTAGGAATACGCAATCTTCACACACAATTTCCAGAATTCAACTAAACTGGTCGGATATTCATAAAAAATAACTTGTTAGGTATATAGGAAATGAAACTATTTTTCTGGATTTTGTTAGGTATAGTTTATCTATGATATGTTTATTCAAGTAGAAACTACATCAACTTAATTTTTTTTTGCCTTTTTTGTGTATTACAGGAATGAAATCTTCATCGCAAGAGGAATGGGACAAATTTTGGAAAATTTATACGGAAGAAGACGATCCAGTGGAGTTGAATAGAATGCGATCCGGGCTAGCAGCGCCCCATAACAGTGATATTCTTAAGAAGTATGTAATATTGATTAAGCAGTAGTATATGGCCTTGGGTGTCTTGGCTGTAATTAGGTAAATTACTTGAAAGGCATAGTTGGGGTGAGCTGACACACAGTCACGAGAGTGGAAAATTTAAAAGTAAATGTTCATTGAAAGCATAAGAGGATAATGATTATAAATAAATAACGCACACGCTCATAATTCCGGACTAGGAAAACCCTGTGTCGCGGGTGCCATGGACGCACACATTGAACACCAAAAATTACACCCAAACTCACGAGAGAAATAAATGTAGGTCATACAAATATTTCTCACGGCCCGGGAATCGAACCCGGGACCACAGCGTGGCAGACCACCATGGTAGCCGTTCGGCCGCTGAGGCAGTTAATGTTAATAATGGATGTTAATGTGACCAATCTCGAGCGTGTAATAACGACATCTATAGTTCATTTCACATAGCATGATTCCGGTGACATTTGAGATTTGAAGTTTCTAGAGAAAGAGAAAATCGAATGTAAAAAATTGTTAACGAAATAATTTGTAAGGAAAAGAGAATCGATTTACAGAAAATGGTTTAAAAACAAATAACAAACTAAATAAAAAGGGTCAAATTACAATGTTATTAAGTTATTATAAAACTAAACAATAAATTAAAAAAATCGACAACGAGCAAAACAAAAAGTCAACAACAAAGCTTAAAATCAACTGCAACAACACAAAGTCTAAACAATTATTCGAAAAACATCACGCAAAGTTCAAAACAAAAGAAAACGACCCACTTACGGTGTATGTACTCGTATTGACGCGAGATACACAATAGTCGATTCGATTTATCGATTTTATGGTGTAAATATCTGGAAAATATATTCCGTTTTACGTATCAAGAAAATGAGATGATAAAGATAAAAATAAATTACTATTTATTTTTATTTTTAACATCTCATTTTCTTTCTACTTAATATACATATATTAAGTTACTACTTAATATACATATATATTTTTTCATTACAACTGCAACAAATATTGCTGCATTGAAACAATTAAACTGCTATGGATAGGCGTGTCGCTTACCACTAAGCGAAAGACTTGTTCATCCCGTCACTTGATATCATTAAAAAAACCTTATGCAAGCAATTATTTTTCCAAAGGATTATACACTGATTAGTATACAGTGCGAAAACACGATACCGAAAAATTTTCGCGATAGAAAAAAAAAACACAAACTTCCCAACAAATTTTACAAAAAAGCCACTGTATTCAATAGATACTTTACATATACAATAAAACGATATACGTTTTTCAAATGGCTTTAATTTCGTTTGTAAAAACGTAAAGTCCGTGCCGCTCGACCCGCGCAATAGAACCAATTCTGATTGAGCTGAGGTAGTATCGACTCTCAAATCTCTTGCAGTAAACCACTAAGCAGTGGACTAAAAATATTTTTCTCTTTAGGTACTTATCTTTCGCCTGGGATGAACGTAACGTGCGTTCTCAAGATTATCTGAGCGTTCTTCAGCACATTGCTGACAATCCTTGGGGCACAGAACTGGTCTGGGTAGACTTGCGGAATCGCTGGCCGGAACTCGTGGATCGATTTACAATTAACAGCCGATATTTGGGTAATGCCGTTTATGGCATTACTTCGACATTTAACAGTGTAGCTAAACTTAAGGAGGTAAATATAACCAATTTTGTAACTTTATTTATTTATTTATAGCTTATAATAAGTAAAAATACATAAAACGGTGTCGCATAACCCTAGTAAAGATAAGATCTTGCTTTAAAATTACGCCTATAAAGCCTTGAACATCGCCCTAAAGTTGCCTGCTTCTCAGTATTCTACAGGATATATCAAGGAGAGTATGCAATGGAATTGCATGAAATCATTCTGCCATCCCCTTTCCATCATCGGGGGATGAGACGTATGTTTGGGTTCCAAAACAATTTTACATTTATATGGCGTACTGAACAACTTGGCCCTTTCAAGGCGAGAGCAAACAGGTATTATATAATTGTGCATATTCCATCGTCGATCTTATCGTCACTTTCCATCAGGTGAAATGGAGGTCAAATGCGCACTTATTTTAAACATAAAAAATATCTTTTCCAGTGATGACTTTGAACAATCTGTTATTATTAACTAACACGCGAATTTCATGGACGCGTAATGCATTTAGAGATAATGGGGTGTCAGTGACAAACACTAGATAACGTTATTGTTATCTCTGAACGCATCACGTGTCCGTACCATACTACTCGCAACAATAAAATGTACGAAAAACTTGCCTACACTCGTAAAGCTCAATTTATATTACGGAGACCGGAACGGAAGCGAACCTTTTTAACGATATTGTGCATAGCAGAAGATTTTGGCCGACAATTGACCGTAGAGTTCATTTAGCTATGTACAATATCATTATAAAAATTCGCTTCCATTCCGTTCCGCCGCATTATAAATTAAGCCTTATATTAAGTAATTTCATACTCATGCGAATCCACGATCGGATCAGAACCCTTTTAACAGGAAACCCCTGAACCCTTGTTCACCAAACTGGTTTAAACAATCAATAGGATTTCGTTATTTTCACACAGCCTAACGAAGATATCATAGTACTTGTTGTTTAAAAACAATTATTATATCTTTTCTGCTTTGGTGGGTTTTCTTCTTCAGTCTTTGGTCACCCACTGTTGACTCTACAGTCAACAGTGGGTGACCAAAGACTGAAGAAGACAACATTTACACGCCGTTCTCTCCGATCTCGGGCTATTTGCATCCAGGTTTTCTGGTTACTTTTGACTATATCGTCTGTCCATCTAGCCGTTTGGCGGCCGACGCTTCTGGTATAGTTTCCACTCCAGCACTCTGTTCCACTGGTCATCAGACCCGCCAGTCGCTATTTTCTTAATACATTAATACACTCCACGTCATAACTTAGCTTTAGTGGCTAATGTGCCTTAATACATTACCCTTTTGACCGCCGCCGTGCACGCTTTAAAGCGTCTTACATTAACTTGGCTGATACGCCTTAAAGCGTCAGTTTTCAATTGAAATTAATAAATAAATATTAAGTTTTCCTTGTGTTATTTGTATGTTATAGTTAAGTTTGCATTCATAGTTGCATTGTACGTTCAGTTATGATCGTCTTTGACTTAGAATAATCGAATTAATATGAGCTAGAAATTCATAACATGTCACATCACTGTATAGGCTTGGCGTCTAGGGAACTAATAAAATATAAAAAACTAATTTTTGAAAATGCTTACTGTGAATTATTTTTTACCCAAATTGTTTTTTTTGTCTTAAAATACTACCTAAATAATGTATATTCAATCTCGTCTTGAAAAGGCCCAAGTTATACCGTTCAGAGTACAAATAATCTGCAGACAGAGAATTCCACTTTCTTTCGCCGTATAAATGTAAAACGAAACGCCTCGTGCGAGTCCTTGGAATATCCACAACATGGAGGTGGTATCCCAGTCTAGGCCCCCGATGATGGAAAGGGGAAAGCGCAATTAAATCGTGCATAATCTTAGTACAGGCCCATGCCCAGTGGGATGTAGCGGCTGTTGATAATAACGCTGATGATTCTTTCAGATGGAATCGTTTTTCAAACAATACCCTGAAGCGGGTGCCGGCGAGAACGCACGTCGACAGGCGTTGGAAAATGTACGCAACAACATCGAGTGGGTCACCGCCAATCAACCTGTAGTCGTGGAATGGCTCAAAGCGCATGTCTAGCGAAAATTATATTTTCATACAGCTAGTCATATGATGAATTTTTTTTTTCAATGAAATTACAAAAATGTCTTAAAGGTATAGGAAACTACAGGGACCTAGAGGACCTTAATAGTGGACTAAATAATAATGGAGCTAGTTTACATAGAAACAACATACTATTTTTATAATGTTTTATTTTATTTACTGTCACTGACAACCTCTACATTTAATTGTGCATACGCAAAGATACCATTATATCGTGAAACCTAAAAAAATGTGACTATCGCTGAAGAACTAATTTCTATCAATTTCTAGATAATATATAGTGTTACCGTCCTGTATGCATTTAACCACTCTGCATTTAGTCTTTGTTACAGAAATTAGTAATAAATTGTTTAGAAGGTTGTCGAATAAAAAAGTCAATTTTTAAAAGTAGTATGTAAGGAATAAAAAATACGAATTAAATTGAAAAGGCAATATGCAGTATTTACTTTGCCAAATTGTAAACTAGAAATTGTTTTAAATAAGTATAAATATTTTAATTTTTATACAGTTTTAAAGTGAATTAAAACACAATGAATGATATTTAATTTTTTTCCGTTTAAGGACCTATCTCAAATATTATATGGAACAACTGTTCACTACAGATACCTACTGTGATTTCATATGTATTTTTTTTTTCATTCGTTCTAATTGTTTGCTGCATAAGAAACTGTAAATTGCGTTCATTGTCCATTGTTGTGAAGAAGTGCATAGCAACTATAAGCCATACGTACAATCTAGAAAAATATAAAACAATTCTGTTTACATACGTAACTTATACTCTGTTTATTAAATATTGTATTATGGGTCATAATCATTACTGTATGCATCAACATTGCACAGTGCATCTAAGCAAAGTTTGCAAACGTACATTCGCGCCCTCCTTATCTTACACTAACGTAATCGACATTTTAAGCGAAATTGAGTTATTAACATATTATCTGGAATGGACGAAACGAGATAGTACAACCTTAGATAAGCGGTTTTTTACATCTTATTTAGTTTCAGTTTTTTTGTTAAGCAAAATCAGCTTTTTAAATAAAAAAGAACTTGAGGCGCCATTAACTCGAAAGTTAAGACAGAATTGAGTGATACATTATATCACTGTATGATACACTACTTCAGACAAAAATCACTTTTAAAGAATTAAGTAAATTATTTGTATTTTTCATTTTCAAATATGTCCTCATTTTTACTTTAAAAATATTTTTAATTTTTTGTTCTATACTATATAGTATAGAACATGTATAGAACAATTTCGTTTCAGTACTTTTTTTTTATAATACAAAGTGGTGGTACGAACAAGTCCAGTTATAATCCAAATAGTTCCAGTGCCATTTAGAGCTTTAAATCGCAAAGATCTTGTGGGCACTGCCACTGTGCCCGTCACCCTGAGACGTAAGTTGACAAGTCCCATGTGTCTGTAATTTCGCCAGTACCCTAACCCTTCGAAACCGGAATGCAGTAACGTACTGTGTTATTACTTGGCGGCGGAAATAAGTAAGGTGACATACTACCCTGGACGAACTCTTTCACGAGGTTACTACAAGACAATAATATCGGGTGTAACATTTACATAATGTAGCTTACCTAAATGATTCAATTCAATATATGCCACCGTATGTTATATTTTGTATACTGTTCATTACAAATATACCTTTGCTAACTTTGCCCGATATTGTATGCATACCTATTCGATATTTCCCGGTAAATGTTAAGTCTGTATATGTAACCCAGCAGATTGTATCCGTTAACGTTATGACGTGATATATTACGGTGAACTTAGTGCTCAAATGCATGAAGTTTCAGTTGCTATTAAAAAGTATTATTTATTAGGGAAATTTAGACGTCGAACCTTCCATTTCTTCACGTACCTGTACAAAAGAAGGTAAATCAAGTGAATTGAAAGGTCCTGCATTTAATCGATGCTGTTTGGTGAGGCCAATTGACAGCATACAAATTTCTCGCCGCTCACCCAAACTGAGGCACCAATAAGAAGACGCGAATGGCCCTTCACCCATTCCTGTGTAGCTCTATAAGAGAATATTATTATCACATATATTTCGAAATATTTTACAAACAAATTGTGTCAACGTTTCCACCGTACAGACGGAACGATCGCCTATATACCATATGTTAGGGGATTGTAAAGAGGCAAGTTTACAGAGCAATGTAAATCTGAACTCGATGCTAAACCACCCACATCCACCCACTGCCATTATCTATAATTACGTTGGCAGCGTACTCACGTAACCTTTAGGTTGCGGTTCCACCATAGATGTGGGAGGTAGCGAGGCGGTCCGATGATGTGTAGCGGTGCTGTGAAACGTTGTGATGATTTCCACCAAAGCTGTACGAGATACAGTCAAGAGCACGTCAAGCTTTTCACTTTGTACTTTGGACCGTTCTTATCGTAAGCGGCATAGAGTTGGATTTAAATCTTAAGAATAAAGCTTGACGTGCTCTTGACCATGTATAAGATACATGGCCAAGAAAGCGGTGCGAGGAAGCGTAGCGAAGAGGTGAAACGGTCTATAGCTGAGCGGTTCTAGGATGAGCAGCGGTCTCTTTTCAGCTGTGCGCGGGAGGGGTGAGCGGAGGCGATAGCTCGCTCGCCCGCGTACCTCGCACACATTCCTCGCTCACATCCCTCGCATACACACATCAAAAAAAGTTTGCGATCACTTCGAAAAACTGAAATCTTTTTTGTTACTGTAGATTATATTATGATTTTTTCTTCTTTATAGATTCTTTATTTAAAAATAAATTAGAACATAAAACAATGACCCCGTTCAATTGTTTTTTCATATAAAAAGGCTTTCAGTCCTAGCTTACGCTCATTCAGAAATCTGATTTAGTCAATTATAAGCGATTCAAGATATTTTTCGCGGAAAGTTGTGATTGAAAAAATGCCAAGAGGATTATCAGAGGTTTCACGAGCTAGAATAGTAACTTTGAGGGAAGAAGGATACACCACGAGAGTAATAGCACGCAGACTTGCTATATCCCATTCCTGTGTCGTGGCTACGTTGCAGAGGTATCACGGAATGGGGAATTTAGCTGACCGACCCCGCAGCGGTCGCCCAACTGTTTTGACAGCTGCCCAAAAGCGCTATATTAGATTGCTGGCAGCCCGTGATCCAACAATCAACGCCACTAAAATAAAAGCAGAAGTCAGGGCCGCCTCTGGGCTTGAAGTTAGCACGCAGACCGTTCGCAATTGCTTGCACCAGGCTGGATTACGAGCACGGAGGTCTTGGCGAGCTCCGCTCAATTCCCGGCAACGTCAACAACGAAGATTGCAGTGGGCTAGACTTCGGCAAAATGAAGAAGGTGAGGACGAAAACATTTGGCAAAACTGTCTCTTCGTTGACGAATCCCGAATCAGCACTCATCCAGATAACCGACGTGTCCGTGTCTGGAGAAGACCAGGCGACCGTGAAAGACAAAGAACTGCCACTGGAACAGTTCAGCAAGGCGGAAAATCGGTGTCCTTTTGGGGTGGCATTATGATTGGAGCTAGAACGCCTTTGATCCCGTATCGGGGCTTCATGACAGCAGACATGTACAAAGCAGTTGCTATTGATGATATCGTCAGACCATTCCGAGTAAACCATGGGCACCAATTTATACTGGTCGATGATAATGCGCCCGCACATCGAGCTCAACGAGTCAATGCTGCTCTTCAAGAATACGATATCACACGATTAGACTGGCCTGCCGGCTCGCCCGACTTAAACCCAATAGAGCACGCGTGGGATGCTCTTAAACGAGCAGTAGGGAACCGTGAGCCACGTCCCCAGACAGTTCCAGAGCTCAGGGAAGCCGCTATTGAAGAATGGGATAGGTTACCCCAGAAAATGCTGGATAACTTGATCCTCAGCATGCCCAGGAGGATCTTCGCATGTATTCGAGCCAGGGGAGTAGTTATTTTATATTGAATTCACACCTTTTAATAATAAATTGTTGTTTAAGTTTAAATAAACAGTCTTTTTCTTTCTATGAAATTTCTATCACTATTACATTATGATTAATGGCTCAATTTTTTAAAATAAATAATAAAAAATAGTTTTATATTTTAATTTCAAACAGGGTATTCCTATTTAAAGAAAGCATACAACATAGATTTTTTCTTGATAAAGTTAAATTTACAGAATTATAGGAGCTTATGCTATTGATCGCAAACTTTTTTTGATGTGTGTACATTTCTCGCCTTTTTGTATGTACAAATACTCAACTCCGCTAGCCCTCGTTACACTAGAACTAAGTCCTAATAGGAGAGTAAATCAATCTTTTTGGTGGATTTTTTCCACGCACACCGCCTAACTACCTCGCACACCTCTGGTGGAATCGCAGCCTTAATGTACATGATCTTCAAGGCACCAGCGTCAACTACAACTAAGTGTTGAAATGATCACCTTCACCGAACACGGTCAGATAGAGATATCAAATACTGACCTACATTCTTATTAGGTAGTTAATCAATGAAGGAAATACCTCATTGTACACTGAGTCTCCGAAATGACAGTAGAGGTAGAGTTGTACAACTGTGCCGACCATGTATTGAAGAAGTGACGCAAACTGCATCGCACTCATTTGTTCCTGTAAGTATTTTGCATTGTGATTGGCGACAATGAATAATTTTTTTCAACTTATACAATTGAAAATAAATCATAATAAATATAAAAAATAAATTATCTTACCGAGTTCAATCTCACGGCGATTGAGCATAAAGTTAATGTGGCAATCAGATAATATACTCCCAATATAAATCTCATTAATTCATCTATCTCCTGCATTAATCTGAAATAAAAACTTATATATTGTTATGTCTTAATTAGCTATACTTGATATTTGTTAGGAGCTTATTGTACCTCGTTTGTTTAAAAGTAACTGTTACCCACGATATCGTCTGCAGTCGACATCTCTTTTGTACACAAAATATACAGGGTGCAATCGTTAAGTGTGCTCAAGCGATTATTCCGTAAATTTATGAGATATCAAAAACTTGTACTTTACTTGATGACTTTTTAAAAATTAAACTAGAAATATCTATACCTAATTTCAACGTTAAACGCACCCATAAATTTAATATGACATTCGTAGAGACGCTTGCCCTTAACCTTCAAAACCGGAACGCATTAATGCTCACTGCTTGGCGATAGAATTAGGTTACGACAGACGTACTTTCCTGGACGAACTCTTTTATGGTGGCCTGGTGGTATCCATAACAGTTTCAGTGCCACTCAGAGCTTTAAATCCCAATCTTAGGGGCACTGCCGCCGTCGACCTGAGACATAAGTTGACAATCCTATGTGCTTGTATTTTACCAGCACCCTTACCCTTCAAAATCGGAGAGCAGTGATGCTCACATTACTGCTTGGCGGCAGAAATAGGTAAGGTGGTAGTACTTCCCTGGACGAACTCTTTCACAAGGAGCTCTACTTTTACGACTAAAATGTCACTTACAACTTATAATAGATACTTACTTTACAAGAATAACATGACTGCAATGACATTCAATAATTCTGTAATGTGCTCTAGAATCTCTCGCTGGCGTTAACTGATAGTTTTTGCCTCTGCCACCAATCTTAGCGGTTCGTTCGCGGAGGAGCGCAAACTGGCCACTCAAGAATATCATCAAACCCACACATGTCACGTCGAAAGATAAATGAATCACTAGACAATACACTGCTGCTATTATTTCAAAAACAATCGTTACTATATATCCAACCAGTCCCAAGTTATCCAGAGGCGCCCATCCAGGCAAAACGTGTGGATAACCTTCTATCTCCACATAATTAATTATCCAATACTCATATTCAATAAACGGTGCCAATAAAAAGATCAATAATGTAAAGATGTAGATACTGTTAATGAATGTTAAAGTAGAACGAAATTTAGTATGATAAGGTTCGATATTCCGTTCCACTAAATTGTCTTTGCCTTCAAGTTCGTCTTCAGATTCGTATTCTACATTAGCGTGATGATTTGATGATATATAGTCTTCTAACTCCTGGGCTTGTTTAAAAACTGCAAGCCACTTTTTACTACATTTATGCAGCGAATTTAACTTGAGAACGGCCATACAGCAGAATGTAAAGATACTGAAGCATTGAAAAAGCTTTGCTACGTCATCCATTACCAAGAACAGCGTGATAATTTGCGTCGCTACATTGATGAGGAAACTAATTCTGGCAACCAGAGCCCAATAAGCTTCTTTGGCTTTATGCCCTTGCCACAAACCAGCATTGTAGATGTATGTTCTCAATGTATTTATTATGTTTTTCTTCCTCTTACCGATCTTACCATCAAATGTTTTAGTGGCACTCATTTGTCTTTTTTGAACTAGTTTCCTTTTCACCTGCAAATATAAATCAGGCAATAAATTGTTTCCGTAATATATTATTATTGTTGTCAATTTCCACCCGCTGGCAATGAACAGTTGAGGTTTTATCAGTCGTAGTCAGCAGGCGCCAAAGCATATTCATAAATACTTATAGTTTAAAATACAATATTTCACTTGCTCTCACTGGTCCTTCGATATGTTGCCACGTAACACAAGTACACAAACTTCTAAATTTTGTATTTTTTCCGACTACAACATAAAAACACGCTTTCGCAGCAGTTGCATAATCTTATAAAATGACCATACCGTCGATTCAAATGTCGCATACTTCGCATATTCAAGCAGAATCGCGTGTTTCAGGCGTCTTTTACAAACGAGGTACCATCGCCACCTCAAAGTAATATAGGCCAGCAGATACGCTTTCGTCGCCCATTACACTTGTAAACCTGTCTGCGCAAATTATAAAGAATGATGTCACCTCTTTCAAAACTTTCAAAAAACTAGAGTACTTTCTCTCGTAGGAGATAGCCAAAAGCATGCTCATTGAAATAACCAGGGTTTTTGTCGGGGACTTTTTCAAAAATATGTTTATCTCGCTTTTATTACGTAGAGAGTCTGTCTGACACGTTTTATGTCGGTGGAAAAAGAAATGGCGAAGGAGACTACACAGAGGAATGCCATCCACCTACCACACGAAACCTAAAGCTAATATCGAGGCATCTACTAATATTCAATGATACCTGCCTCATTTTAATGTATATCTACTGCGCGCAGAAAAAATACGTCTACGCGTTACGTCGTTACCGCGAGAGCAAAATTGTTCTAATCGAGAAAAACATCAGGAAAAATTGTCCTCATATAAAATTTAATGAAATTAGAGAGCGCGATCGCAACGCGCAGCCTTTCTTAGGCGCGTTTTACGGTAACGAACAAAATCTGAGCGCGCGCACCTCTACTAGTACTATATTATTATAAAGGCGTTAATGATTTTCTGCGCTGCTTCCAAAAAATTCATAGCCCTATAAATAACACATAAAACGCATTAAAGCCCAAATATTCATTTCCTGATGCTGCTCTCGAGATAACCGAGATAACATAATAAGTACATGGAAGACAATATCACGAAATTTAATGATGTTGACAAGGTGTCGATGGTGCTATTTGACGTATTTTACGAAACATCTAGTGTGGGCTTATGATCGCTTATGATCATGATTACCAAATCGCTCATTTAGTGCTAAACTGACGCAATTGTATTTCTTGTAATGTTACAGGAAATAGATTTTAAGTTGAATACATTTTTTATTTTATTTCAAATTTATAACATGTAAAAAAACTTTGTGTATTTTTACAATATGCATTATATTAAAAATTACTGCTGATTTTTCTTCAAACGTAATAGTAGTTTATGTGACTGTTATATAATGAAAGGCAATAAAATACGAGTGAGGGTTTATGACACGAGCCGACAGGCAAGTTTCATAAAAACATCTCACGAGTGTTTTAATGTCTAATCATGTACAGTTACATAGGTACACTGCTTTATCTACACACATATTATAAGTAAGCTCTCCGTGATGTGTTCAGGAACCGCATGTTACGACTGGCGAAATGGCGGCAAATAATAGTAGATTGTACAATAAGTGCACAAAACGCGTCATTTTACCCGAGACGAGTATGTCCACCGGAGCCGCAAGCGAGAGTGGATACTTAAGTCGAGGGTAAAATGGGTTTTATGAACGAGTTATACATTCTACTTTTCACTTCGATTGCGAGGAAATTAAATAATATAATAATAAAATATTGCTGTAATACAAATAAATGATTATTTAATTAAAATTGAATGTAAAATTACGACAATTAGATATATTTAATGTCATGGTTTTTTTATTTTATGCACTAGAGCATAAAGTCCTATTTTATGCATTATAAGTACATACGAACTTTAAGAGCATGAGAAGCTTAGACTATTTTTATTTTTTTCCATCCCTTAAGATGACAAGTGAAAAAACTTTTCTCACGCATGTCACAAAAACGTACTTTTTATTTTTAATTCATAGACAAACCAGAACTGGCCCCAACTATCATATCGTTCGATATCAAGTAACGTGTGAAATTGTCAAAATTGTTTGCTAATGACATTTTATTTCGAATAAAACTTCATCTCGACTGATATTAGAATTGAGGTCCAATCAAATTGTATTTTTTTCAGAGATGTTCGAAATTTGATGATATAACATCAAATTCGATGATAATATGAAGCAATATAAACATTTTCACAGATAAGAAATTTGTTCTAACCAAACAGTTCACCTTTATGCTGGTCGTAATTTGCTGTTTTTGAGATTATTATATACATTATAGAGAGTTTATGATATGTGTGTAGAGAAACACTTTTTATATTACAGATGTATTAACATACTTAATTAAATTTTGGCAAAATTACAGTTAGGTGACGTCAATGTTGCACTAAATGAGTGAAATGTGTCCTACGAACACTATACACTAAGTCTATACCTAAATATGTAGTTGTGAGCAAATCACTTCGCTCAATGGCGCAAACCCATAAACACGTGAGCGCTAACGCAATCCTAGAAACGAGGAATCCAATTCCGGTGTCGTCGCAAATTCCACTGATAAGCTCACAAAACGAATCGTTTCGTAGTTTGTCATAAAAGCCTAGGAATTATTTGCTATCGCCGTGAATAGCAACTGCATTCTTATCCAGGATTTATAGTGCAATGGCTTGATCTGATGGTGCACTCCCATCTATGAGGCGCCATGTAAAATACCTACAATTACAACAACAATTAGACTAGGTTGGTCACTGGGTTATGTATCCTTCCTTTTGATAGCCAATTGAGACGGAACGCGATGAAGCATCTCTACCGGGCTTAAAGACAACTGTAATTTAGCACACTGTTGAGTTTAGTCAGGGCTCGCGTTGTTTTAGCCGGCACGATATATAAGAACGATATATGCAGATAGGGGCATAGAAGTGGATGCTTACTGCGCCAAAGAAATGTAAACATAGGGTTTCTACTGGTTTTTAGCAGTGAATCGACAAGAAGAAGAAATTCGGACCTGTGCGAGGTTTTTTACGGCATCAAGTGACGGCATGAACAAGTCAAGTGCCTTGTGGTAAGCGACACGCCTATTCTTGAAAGTTGCAACGCCACTCAGAGCTTTATATCGAAAAAACCTGAGGGGCATTGCCAGGGCGCCCGTTAGACATAAGACGTCGAGTCCAATGTGCCTGTAATTTCTCCAACACTCGTACCCTTCAAGACCAGAATGCAGTAATGCTCACATTACTGCTTGGCGGCAGGAATGACTCTACGGTCGGTACTATAAAAAAAGATGTGTGGAGGACTAGTTATTCGCATCCTTCATCTAGAAATAGTGACTACTGTCCCTAGTGCCTCCGCTATTAAAGTCTAAGAAGACTGAAATTACGAGACGAAGTTGCCCATGTAAAATTTATTGTGATACCCGAAGTGGGTGTAGATACGCCATTATGTAAGCCGTTTTTTGAGAGTGGGCGCTGAAAGAAGAGGTGTTCCACACTCTTTTCGGTATTGTGTGACTGACTGTGCAGGCATTGCTATTTCGTAAAAATATCTTAATATACGTTTCCGATACTTAAGTTCTAGTAACTCTTTTATTTCCGATTTATAAAGAGTGGAAAACATTTAAAATGAAGAGATAAGTAATGTTGATACTTAATAATATGTCTTACTTTTTCTGTTAGTTTGCTTTTAAGCACTTAGTTTGTAAATGTATATCCTTACAGAGTTATGAGACAACTAAAGAACGTTTATTAATTAAATTGGTCTAATAGGTCTATATTGACGTAATCAATCGTTTGCCGCTTAGCGTTTACTTACAGGGTGTAAGAAAAGTACGACTGGAATGTCATGATCATAGACCACATAAATACTAGTAATAGACTGGTTAGTGGACGGGGTCCGCGTTACCTAGCTTATCACCAGACGGGCATATGAGTGTCAACAGCGCGTCAGTCGTCGTTCAAATGTGATACATGATTATTTTGTGAAAATAATGGAAATATGTCGAATTGTGCCATTATATCATGTAGCGTAAGAAGCCAAAGATTAATAAATACTCCGGGAGTGATTTCCTTCCATCGGTAAGTACTAAAACTCTGTATTTTCTATATTTTGAACAACACAATACTATAATTTCGTAACAAAACTATTTTCTTGCAACTCGGTAATAACAATATACATTGGTTGCTAGCCATCGCCGCCGTCAAAAGAACAATTCGAAAGACGCTCAATGAATTGCTTGCACTAGTATCGTATTACACTTGTTACTGGGTTCGCGTGTTGTAGTCAAATTATCGATACGTAGAAACTCTGTATTTAGAAACTCGGTTTTGGTTTAGTTAATTTTTTTTTTATTATAACGGTACCAATGTGTAAACATAAATTGTTTACAGGTATTTAAAAGCTAACAATTTTGATTACTTAAATGTTTGGTCCAAACACTCGCAATAGCTTTTTTAAAATTTTTAATTTAATTAAAAACGATGTATAAATGGAAAAAAGGCAGTATAGATAGAAGAGGTACAGTGTCGATAATTTTACAATGCATTTAAGTTCGTGGAGTATCAAATGAAGACTTTATGAGATTGGAGATTTTCTTTCCCTTATCTACATGATTCCTATCTCCCTACTTGCTAATTATACGTCACCTTCGTCCGCTTGATTTCTTAGTTTTATCACAGGCATGATTTACATTTGCAGTTTTTGTATTGATTTTTTTAGTTTCCCGCCGGATCCTTTAAAAAGGAGAAATGGGCTGAAGCAACAGGCAGTAAAAGCTGGGTACCTACTAAATGTAGCACCATTTGCTATAAGCATTATATGAATAACAACCGAAAAAATCATTAAGAAATAAATCATTTGGTTAATCAGGTAATATATGACACGAAACTCAGAATCGCATTCACAAATTATAGACTAAATCTAAATGTGAAAACATTTCTGAAGCATTGTCAGTTATTTTTCGTCAAGTTTTCAGGAAACAAATGATTCGCTTCTACGCCTTCGGAAATAAGTATCTTCATTTTCTTGACAAGCTCGTCAACGCTGTAGGTGTAGTAATGATCAGTCAGTTCAGAAAGAGGTAATTGTTGAACAAATATATCATATTTCAAGGAGAATAATTTATGATGGCTGTATTTTAATATTTCAACCCTTCCAGTGATCGGATTGGCTTGAAATCTAGTAGGTTAATGAAAGCACAATGACAGTATAATAAATCATTAATACAGTGATTGTAGCATGTAGCTACGTATAGGTACGCACACGCCTGCGTAGATTATATCGATTAATATTTGCGTGTATTAAAACCTTATGCGTATTTGGTAACAAATGTGTGCGTGTGTAAGTCAGCTACGCTAGTTCTTGAAGAAATTGCTTTAAAAACGTTCCCATATACTCCGTAGTTAACTCGTAAGTTTAAAGTATAAAACGATGCGTTGTTAATGCCTAGTTATTCCGCTAGTTATGAAACATAATGTCGATATCAATTATATGTCACATCCCTATCTGTGCATTGTCAACTTTTTGCTTTTGTTTCAAAAAGTTTGTGTTCATAGGATTTTTAGCTTTTATGTAACTAGTAATAATAAAACCTTATTAGACCCAAATAAGTTTTTAACAATTAATTTTTTTAACAATTTTTTTTATTATTATCTATTTTCGTTTGATAATTTTTAACCAATCAAAATTATGTTATCTTAGTACTAATGTAAGATTTTATAAGAAGGCGTTACGGCAAAAAAGCAATTAAAACCCATTTCGTTCGGCGTTCCATACACACGCTGTGTTTCAACTGATGTGCGACACAACACATAAATATCACAGATTAATAAGCAACAGAGTGTTCTGACTACACAATGATGAGTAGGGATAATAGGAATAAAATAGTTACTATGGTTAGCATCATTAACTTACAAATAAATGGACGACGGGTCTAATACAAAAACCACGAAAAAAATTTCCCAAGTCAACCTATTTAAACGAGTGACATTTCAAGGAATATGAAAAAGCTAAAACGTTGAATTTAAATTGTAATGTCATCGCAATACTGTCTAATTTTGCTTGCTTCGCTGTCAGTCGAACAAACGAAGACTAGAGCGTGAATGACGCTCTGTATACGATTTTAACGCCCTATAAGTTCGGACACTTTTAGCGCGGACCCGACGTCCATATAATTGTAAGTCAATGGTTAGCATACAATAATTTAAAAAAATATAAAAAAGACTATACTGCATGGTTTAAAGATCTTTACCTTTCCGCAAGGAAAAGTACATAACATCAATAATTTCAACAACTCGACTGCATTTTTTCTTTTACTTAGTTTTTTCTTTCTAGTCATATAATAATTACAAATAGTAGGTAAGCGAAAGACCCGTATGTCAAAGCAAAATGAAATGATTATTGTGCGACTAATAGCGATTTTGCCAAGGGCTTTACGTTATTTCCCTAACTATGGATAAATATCATTGGTAGACACTCAATATTATCTGCCTGCCTAGGTTATTCCCAATAGGTATAGACTGTCATATCTGTCCACAGTACTGCGGTAGTGATACTCTTTGACAATATTCAACACTAAGACAAAACACTGTCACTATTGATAGTGTTTTGTTTGGAACATGTAGTTGCTGTGAATATATAGGCAAGACCTATAGATTAAAGTCGTTGTTTAAACCCATCGAGTATATAACCCGAAATAGAGACGAAAAAAGGGCCATCCATCCCTGGCAGCACATCAGGTAAATGGGCCTTACATCATTTTTAAATATCAACTCTCGCTTGCACTGAAATCACAAATTATAAAACTTAAATAGTACAGCACCAGCAACTGACCTGTATGTACGTCTCTGTATATTTCAAAAATATTCTGTATTTATGGTAATAAAGATGTAAATCTCTTTAACCATTGTTAAATGTTGGGGCTGTTTCGTTCGGTGGTGTGCGAAAAACAGTAAAACATCTAATTACAAAACAAACGGAATCACATGTCATCGGTAATTAAACATTAAATATGTAATTTTGCAATTTTCGTCCATTATAGCAAAGTTCAAGTTAAACTGGTTGATTTGAAGTGATAACAATTGACGAACCTCGTCAATTGTTTCGAAATCGGGCTGGCCAATCGGAGCTCAGTTGTCACAATAATGATTTGGCAGAATAGTTTTCAAACAAATTAAATGACATTCCGTCTCTATTTCTGTTTATATACTCGATGCTTGAACCCAACATAAAGCAGGCACTTGGATAAATTCATGAGGTCTGCTGACTCGATCTGTAGCTCAGTTGGGAGAGCGATAATCCCGGTTTGGCAAACAGTCGCGTCCAGACGGATCGAAGGAATTTTTCTTTATATTTGTTCGATCTTTGTATCAATAATAAATTGAAAAATGGTTTTGGAAATCCAATAATGAATCCACAGGGAAATTTTCACGAATGTTATAGGTAGAATTACTCAGTAAATTTTTCTTTACATCCTATTTCAGTATGTATAATTAAAGTTTGATAACATATTAAGCCTTCATTGGTATATAATTTTTGTTTGATTGATACTTACGTGTAATAAAACATTAACACACCAATATAATTGACAACCATAGGCATACTACTAAACGTATATGTCAACATTTGTACATATTTATTTACATGCAAATGGGTGGCCATCATGAACAGAAACTGATGATACTTTGGTTATTAAATACTAAACAATCGATCAAATACGGAATATTCCTTTTTTGTTAATTATAACCTTAAACGTCTATGTAAATAACTAAGATTATTGTCGTTCTTGGCCAGCGCATTTGTTAATTTTCACGGTAAACTTAACCACTGTTATAAAAATAATGCTCGTAAATCGCGATACCTACACAAATTAGAACCTATTCCAACAAATTATTTTTTAATCGTAAAAAATCTTTTTATTTACATATTCCAAGTCGAATTACGAAAAACAACAAGGAGTTTTTTTCTGAAACAATTATTAATGACTACCAAAGCATTATTAAAAGCATAGAAATGGTATCTATCTATTATATCTAGTTCATGTTTTGTTTTCTTTCATTTCATAGAAGGGTAATTTACTAATCAACTCTTTAATAATTCCACAACTTTACACTGTTTAACACGCCTATTTTGTGTTTCAATGCGAACAAAGTGGCTCTACTATTTTAAAGAAAATGACGAAATTGAATGTAAGTGATATATTGATTCGGTTTTGATTTCAGCAGTTGCAATGTTGCAGTATTATAAAATGGCACCTAAAAGTCAAACAAGACATTGTAATTGTTTGATGTACGAATAAAATTATGTTTCGATAATTGAAAAAAACAATGATGAGAATATCGGTTAAAAATTCAAATCACTCGATTATTGTAAACAATTTTATTTTCTTTTTTATTACATTGTAATATTTATACATTTATTAAGAAAACGATAACCCAAATTAGTGCAAATTTTAATGAATAAGTAAACCTTACACAACTATGTATCACAATTCTTCAAATAGATATCTCAGAATTGATTAGTATGATACAGTGTTGCTAGAAATAAATCAATATTAGTAAATATATATATTTATACATTCAGAACTACAGAGTGTAAACCAATATAAAATTTACAATATACGTAAATTTATTGAATCGTTCGTTTAAATTGGAAACCAAACCTCCAACCAGATTACCAACCGCCATTCGAGCGACCTCCAAGGCTCGAGCTATCCCAGCCATTTGAAGATTTACCACTGCTGTAACCTCCCGATCCAGAATCCCATCCTCCAGAGCGGCCCAACGAGTTGGATCCTGAGCCACCCCATCCGCCACTTCCGGATCGACCGAGCCCTGATCCGCCCCAACTACTTCCACCTCCAGATCGGCCAAAACTAGATCCACTAAAGCCATTGCTACCTCCAGATCGTCCAAAGTTGGACCCACTCCAACTTCCACCCGATCGACCTGCTCCGCTTCCACCCCACCCGCCAGCAGATTGCCCGTAACCTCCAGAACCACTAAAGCCGCCACCAAAGGAGGAACGAGCTACACCGATGGAGGACCCGCTATCAAAACCACCGCCTTGCCAACCAGCGCCACCTGCAAGTTTATTATAATTATAATATATTTTAATTAAGTTTAATCTAATTAACTTTTATTTACAATTTTATTGATATTTCATTATATTATAATTTTAAGTATTTAATGATAAATAAAAATGTGTCAAATATCGATATGTATTTCCGGCTATGTGTAAGAATCCGCGTTATAAACTTACTGCAGGATTTTAATTGAATTGTAAATAAAAAATTGTATTGTAATTATAAAATGTACTCAATATGTAAAATAGACATGATAAGAACAAAAACAATTGTAAGAAAACAATAGAAGAAAAAAAAAATAATTGCAAAGAAATAAAGAAGTGTTTAACAAAAAAGAAATTCCATGTCATGGACATAATTGCGCCCGCGCATGAAATTAAACTACACGATCTGTTGACATTTCAATCATAACTTAAATACTAAAATGTTTAAAATACATTTAAACAAAATATATAACTACATATATTATAATAAGTATTCCTCAACTATTCATAACAAGTAGTAGTCACAATATAATACAAAAGTATATTGGCAATACCACGACTTTAGAAAAGGCCTTGGAATGCAATTTCTTATCAGATGTCATTACTTCAACAACTCTGTGTCCTTGTCTGGAAAGATTCTTACTACACAACTCAATGGCCAGAATTGTGGATGAACCATATCATCCTTTAATAAAACCAAATCACCTTAATGTATATTTGGCTGATTATTTTGCCATTTTGTCCTTTTATTCAAAGAGACTTGACAATCGTTTGACCACGCCTGCCAAAAATGCTGCCTGAATTGTTGAATGGACCTCCAAACTTTATGTGGTTATTAGGAACATTTAATAAAGATGGCTGTGGAAATGAAATTAATGGACAACCTATTAGAAAATGTCAAAAGGGTGTAGGGTGTCACTTTTAGATGACAACTGGAATTTGTTTTATAGTCTACACCCCTTTTAATGCAATCTATTTCCTTTGAGAAATAATGATGTTGAACATATCGTATGATGACTTGTAAAGAATTTTGAAGTTCTAAAACTGTAATATAACCTGTGTTTGTCGAAAGTTTCTTACATTTGTTAATAAACCTTAACATATATTATGACATAATTCGTTGCATTTTATTAATATTAGAAAACCTTGTAAAAATGGCATTATGCAATTGTCAGTAGGAAGATTCGAGGTATGAGTTACTAGCTCATCAAGCAATGAAATAGGGAACTCTATATCTCACAATTGGAAATAGTAGGAATTATTGTTCAAATAATCAGGACCATGCCACCACAAGTAGTTGTGTAAAATATCTTTGGGATCTCCACCGCGAGACAGAATATGTGCTGGATTTGCCAAACCTGGAGTGAACTTCCATGTCATACCATTAGTTAATTTATTAATTTATTTGACACAATTAGCCATATATGGTGGCAATTTCTCCTCAACAGTGTTTATCCACCTCAAAGCAATTTTTGAGTCACGAAATCGTTTTTACATTACATATTATGATTAAGACCTTTGAAACTAGTTTAGATAAAAGTAAAACTCCATGGAGTTCTAGTTTTGAGTTAATTTGGAATCTAAGCCAACAATATAAGATTTGGCGCATAAGAGATTTATATGATAATTTTTATCAACAGTTTGCACTTTTAAATATACGCAACAACCATATGGTTGGACGCATATGCGTCAGATGATGAATCGAAAAATTCGAGCAGTTCCACTTCTTGGCGTCATGTAGATGTAAGTCTCAAGAAATAAATATTTTATCCATATTGTATATTGAAGAATGAAACTCCATCCATATTTTTTGAAGTTTGGAAGGAAGAGGCGCGTCCCAATCTAGATTGTGTTTCCACATGTTGCAAAATTATTTTAGCCTTGACGACTATAGGGCCAGCGTAACCTTGGATAAAAAAAAATTACTTACGGAACTTAATACAGTACCTACGTTTAGTCTCTACTTCAGGGGCAGCTATAACCTTGCCGCTTAACTCAAATGCATCCCTTTCAATGTTCAAGGAAAGGTCTAATGCTTAATGCCTTCACTATCAAACCCTGATCAAGATTTCTGTTGAAAACCGTATTTTTCCGTCGGAACATCTTGACATACAGACATATCATTAGAACACCATTTATGTGGTTCAAAACCACCCAATTCTAGCAAATGAAAGATCTCTTGTTTTAAGTCAATCACAACTTGATAACTATTGCTACTGTACAAAAGACCATCGACATAAGAACTTGTTATAATAGCCTCACTCGCTAATTTACAATCGGTTTTATACATATTTGCCAACTCAATTAAACATCGAGTAGCTGAAAAGGCGGAACTTGTCAGGCCGTATAATTGTTTGCAAACATTGTACAGGTTTATTTTTATTTTCTCGCCAGATAATATTTTGTAAAACGCGATCATCAGGGTGAATTAAAATTTGTCTGTATATGTGTCTGATATCGCACATGAGAACATATTTATAAGTTCTAAAACGCAACAAAATATCGAATAGTGATTTCTAAAGTACTGGTCCATTGCAAAGAATATTGTTAAGAGATGGACATTTACCGTACCTTGCGCTCCCATCAAATGCAAATCGTAGCTTTGTCGATAATCTTTCGGGACGAAGCACGCCGTGATGAGGAAGGAAATAAATTAGTCTGTTTTCGGTAAACAATTGTTCGTGTCCATTATTTTAGCGTGTCGTAATGCCAAATATTCATTGATGAGATCTACATATAATGAGTGATACTCAGGATCTTTATCGAAACGTTTTTCCAAATTGTAAAATCGTAAGGAATTTAAAAATGAATCCGATAAATCGTAATAATTTAAGTCACATTTTCGCGGCATGCGAACTTCAAATCTTTTATTGTGTAATTTTACTGATTCTTTCAAAATAATTTCGCTATAATCATGTTCCGGTAAACATTCAACAAAAACTTCTGACACAAACGTGTCAGAAGTTTTTCTTCAAGTTCAAGAAGTAGTTCTTGTCACGTGTGGCAAGTTAATTGTAATCTTGTCCACAATGGAACATGTAACATTGACATTGAAGTTTTCTGTAAGTGAATGTAATTGTAAATTAAACCCGTTGTCAACCTTTTTTACATTGTCTGCTAATGTAACAATATTTTTAGAAAAATCAAACGTGGAAACACCTAGCTTCGAAGCTAAGCGCTTTGTAAAAAAGGAAGTTTGACTTCCCGAATCAAGTAAAACGCGCACAATGTACTTGTTGTTGTGAACATCTGTGACCAGAACCTTGGCGGTAGGCAAGAGTACATTGTGTTAAAACTTGAGTAGAACTACTCTCCTGATTGATATGAATCAGAGCATTGTGGTCTTGATTGCAAACAGTGCATTTGAACTTGTATCGACATGGTTTTTCATGAGAATTCAGACATATCTTGCAAATTTTTTTGTTAATTATCAACTGAAGTCTTTTTGCCGTCGACATCAATATGAAATTAGGACATTTGTAAAGCTTGTGGTCCTTGGAACATGCAATACAGTTGTACACCTTTTTTTATTTCGTTTGATACGTTCGCTACCTTATGTCTCAATGATCAAGGGCTTGCTTCTAATGAACTAGCTCTTTTATCAATGAAGTCGAGCAAATTTGTAGTGTTGGGAAGCTTATCGCTTGAACTCTCGGAGTGATAAAGTCGTAATGTAAGTGGATGTAGTGTAACATGCAATGCAAAATAAAATCGAACTCCATTGATCAAGTGGTTGTTTCAGATTTTGTAGAGCCATTATTTGCTGTCTAATCTTTACTGTCATGGATCTTAATTGATCTGCGGAACCATGATGTATAGTAGGAAGATCCAATATGGTATTAATGTGCTTTGCAATTAGAATAGAATTTATCGTATCTTTTCTTGAGTAATTCAAGCGCAGAAATGTACGAGTCATTTATGAGTGGTAAATTATTGATAATTTCCAAAGGCTCTCCCTTTAAATATTGTTTTAAATAATATAACTTTTGTATGTTTGACAAATTTAGATCTTGATGAAGTAGCGAATCTAACAAGTCTTGAAATGAGCGGTAGTTTTCTAATTTACCATCGAAAGTAGTTATTTCTATGCGTTGAAGTTTCAAACTGCTTGATGTTGCAGAGAGAGAGAGGCGCTGTGGTTCCCATTATAATTTAATACCTTTTTCCCATTAATACCTTTTTCCGAACTTCGAGTACGGCATTGTCTAGCTCTGCAGATTCCAAATAATTCCCCAAATTTGTTAACGTCCTTTTATGTTGTCCTCGCGTTATTCGCAAGGACTTCAAGGTTGTAAGATCTTTGCCTGCGTGTTTTACCGCGCTCGAGTCACTCGAGCAGGTTTTATATTCTTCTATTTTAGAAAAAAAGGTTTCGGCACCAAAAATATGTAAGAATCCGCGTTATATACTTACTGCAGGATTTATATTGAATTGTAAATAAAAAATTGTGTTGTAATTAAAAATGTACTGAAAATGTAAAAATGACATGATAAGAAGAAAAACAATTGTGATTAAATAAAAGAAACAAAAAATTGAAAGTGACAATTAAACGGAACAAAGTGCCAGTTGTGTCATTGAATATTTAAATCATAGATTTAAATAGAAACCAAGTGAATTGTAAAGAAACTTCTGTAGACTACTCGTATTTGTGAGTATTAGAGATTTTTGCTTTTCTATGGTTAAGGTTTAGATTTTTAGATTAAGGTTTGGATTTTCTAAATATTTGAATTTAAGTGAAATGGACACTTATTCTAATCTTAAGATTTATTCTCTGTATTAGCAATCCATAACCTAAGCTCGTGTGGTATGAATTAAAATACGTGATATAGGTATTTATGACAACGTCGTAAACTGTATTGTCACACGGAAAATACAGAGGAAGTCTTAAAAATTCTCTTAAAATATTCTTAGAAATTATACGTAATTGGTTTGATATTGAGTATTGGTATGAGTAAATATTCACCTGCCATAGCGCCCGCCACAAGTGAAACTAGAGTCAGGGCCAGAAACTGAAAAAAATAATATTAACAGTCAATGTATATACACATAATGAAATCGTAAAGAAGCTAAGTCTGTACTTCTAATACTTTAAAGTAAACTACTTATTGGAGTCACTTCTAACCCCTATTTTTTATAATTTTTGTCTAATTACCAGTTTATCCGAGCGTTTGTGTACGCTAACCTCTACAACAGCTGAACCAATTTCGATGTAGTTAAGTGATGTATTGAGTAACAAGTATATTTGTGGACATATAGAAAAGGTAATGTCGAATATAAGTAGTATCTCGTGACGCGTGCGCAAGGTGCATCGGAATGCGTGCGCCTCTGTACATACGTACATCTGTACATACGTAAATATTGTATGGTAGTGTACTAGAATGTTACATGCAATTGTGTACTACGTACATACTCGTCACAAACGATCGTCACTTGGTTATTATTATATATTTTTATTCAATTTAATTGCTTGTTGATTTACGTAAAAATAAACTTCATTATTATCCTGTTTTAGTGTGTGATTATTTAGATAAACCAAGGTTGAATACAGGCTCTCATGTGTCAATTTATCCTAATTTGAGAGCCTGGAAACATCACATAATGTTTTAACTTTATCTGAGCTTAGTTGTATGCCAAAATTTGTTAATCAATACATTTTGTTATTAGTCGCCAGTAGAGCTACAAAAAAGCCGACATCATAATAAACCAAGTTTTTATATTAAAGTCACAATAACGATTTTTAGGATGAATAAATTTAAAAGTAACATTACAACAACGTTTTAAGTATACTTATTAGGTATAATATATTAATCCTCATTGACAGACTCATTTTCTACTGTGGGGAATTTCATGAAGATAAAATTTTCCTTTTACAGCATGTTATTTGGTCATAAAGTTTAGGAAATGGGTGCATATTTGCGCGTGGAAATAGCTGGCATTGATAATTCATATTAGCAGTTTTATTAAAATAAAACTTATAATTAATTACTTATGAAATGTCATAAGACCATATAAGACGATGGTTGTTGTGGTAAGGTTATTATTGTCTAATTATAAAGTCGAATAGTAGATTATTGATAAATTAATTACCAATAATTAACGAAATGAAACAATGTGGAGTTAACGAAGGCTCGTTTCATGCGGCGACACTGCGGCGGCGGAGACGCGTTTAATTTACATTACGTAGGTCTACACAGATTTTATGCCTGGAACTTTAGGGTCTGATTATTTTAGGCTTAGTTAAGTTCCATCGACCTATGAAATTATATATTTTGACAAAAAGTTTGTTCTTGCAGAAAGGATAACATATACATATATATAAGTACGCACTCAGGTGATGGGGAAAGTAAAGTATGTATTGAGACTGATTAAGCAAACTTTATGAGTACATTTATAGTTTCATGTGAGTCTTATGAATGTAAGAAATAATGAAATGTTGGACTGTGGCATATTTTTGGCCTGTACTATGTGGCACGCCGTTGCTACGCGGTGCAATGTGAAAAGGGCTTTATTTATTGATGTTTACTGCTTAGAGCTAATATTTTTTATTGCGCTTAAGATTTCATAATCTCTCTCATTTTAATCTCATGTATATGTGAACCAAATATATGAATAAATTTTATAACAATATTTTTACGTTGGTCTCAGTTGCATTGTGTGAGTAGCCAGGTTCCGTCCATATTTGAACCGATTTACTTAATGAACCCGGGTACTAATAATATAAGTCAACATATATGTGGATTTCGGAACATTCTTATCGTAATGTCCGTATCTACCAACTCTAGAGATAGGGAGTTCCGAGAAGACTACGGGCTCCCTGGTAAGACTAGGGTACGGCGGGCGTCCGGGTCAAGCCCTCCGAAAGTTTTTGACCATCACGGGCGCCTCTGGCGGACCCGGACATGGGTATTGAGTCGCCGGGGCAGCTGCAGAATCGAACATGTTAATCTGCCTCGGTAATGTGTGGCCGGGGCATCCGTCTCGCGCGCAACTAGCACGTCTTACTAGCGTTAGTTGTGCAACGCATAACGGGAAGTGAGCGTGCCATCAGTTCCGGTATCTATCTGGACAATAGGGAGTGTGCTGCACATGCACCCGGAGCCGCTCACCCAAGTCACTAGACTTTTGGGAACCGGATGAAGTCCGTGACAACGGTCTGTGGCAACCCTATCCACAGGCTGATCTGGGGTCAGGACCTGAATGCATAAGGTCCCTGTGCTGGCACAGGTTATTGTGCCTTTCCCATATAACCAAGAGGTTGATAGGGAGGATCCCTATAAACAAAACTATGTAGTTATACGGGACTATTCTTATTGTAAAGTAGCAGAGTTAAATTAAGAATTTTAAGCGTTAAATTCTGCGCGATTTTGACTGTACGACGTATTATGTAATTTGGACAAGACTTGGTAGTCGACAACGTATTTTACTTCTCTATTTAAAATGTGTACAAGCTACTTACCATGTTTTTAGTGGATCACTACACTTTGATGAAACTACACAGCAAACATCTCCTTATATACTGGCTGCATCCCTGTTGTTAATGTTTTTTGTTACACCAGATGAGCTGTTTTCAATGTCAACTAAGATCTCAAAACAAAGGGCTTATGTATTTGTCACGCTTACTGCATTAATTCGAAGTTCGAGTGTTTGAAACGAACGCGGAATCTATTTTTTAGTGCTCTTTGGAATGAATAGATTTCTTAAATATTTTTTTTACTAGTGTTTCCCAATAATATGATATATGCTAGCTTTTATGGAATTACGTAATCCTTGTATCTACCTTTTTTTTGTAATGTTAGATTATTTTATGTTGTACAAAATTATAAGCTCCTACGTAATACGTATTACGTATTGAAAATTTGTTTAAACGTATATTAAGGAAAAAACAAACTATACCACAGTTAGCTACGTCTTAGAACTAATGACTCAGGGTGTTTTGGAACCATGCACGTGCAAAAGAGTTGGTCAAATCCAGATTCTATCGTTATTATGTCATTTAAAACATTACATGATATAACACACATCGTGTGGTTGCGGCATTGGATGATTGTAAATGGATGTAGATAGAAAATACATTTCATAGTCCTATAGGTTACTAAATATATCAGCATAAAGGTGGACTAGGTCTAGGTTTAGTATACCACACAATTCACGATTGCAGTTGGAAGGTAAATAATAAACAGGAGTTGTAAGGTAACTGTATCACGGAGAGTGCGATGGAATTTCATAATTTGATTTCGCCTTCGTCTTTCCATCGTCGGGGCACACGCAGACTAGGGTTCCCCTATCTTGTGGTTATTACCAGGATTCGCATGAAGCGTTGCGCATCCACATTTATATGACGAGCGGCTAGATAGAGGAATTCCCTACCTACGGGCTTATTCTTAGCTTTTCAAGGCGAGAGTGAATAGGCATTATTTAGGTGTGTATGCTGCATCGTCCACCTCATCATCATTTTCCATCAGGTGAGATGGAGGTCAAAAGCGCACTGATTTTGTATAAAAAACAAAAAAACATCAATTTTGTATACAAAACAAAAAAATAATATCGAGTATTGGACAGCTCCGCGTTTAGGTCTCTCTGGACGCTAGATTGGCTTCTACTTATGGTAGATTCAATAAATTACTAAATGAATTTGTCTAATAGAACACCTGTTCTGTATAATACCCTCGGTTTTTATTCCGTTATTCTGGTACTTATAGAGGAAATTCCTTATTAGAGTCCTCTTTGGTTCGATTGTCAAATATATATAAAAATATATTTTTTTAATAAATTATTTTATTTGCGTAAGAAATTGTTAAATAAAAGGATATAAAATATTAGTTAAGTTTAAAAGTGCGGCGTATTCTAAAGTTTTAATTTGGATTTTACCGGACGACTTAGTAAAAAGTACTTATTTCATTTATAATAATATAATGATAGAAGCCTTTATTTCAAATTCAATTTCACTCTTTAGTGACATGTATTTTTTTTGCATATACTCCTCCGTCCTATGTCATTCGCGCCTGTCTGCAGCCAGTCACGTGCATGTTGCTTTCGCCAACTGAGTGATATTGTCTTTCGGCCGTCGTCATCGCAACATACATTTTAGCAGTGGGTATCAGTAGACCAACCCTGCGACTGCAGTCAGTAGATCTTGCCAGATGTTTAGATTTTCACCATTTCAGACGATACGCTATTTTTACGGAGTCTTTTACGTTTTGTTTCGTCACTTTGAATTGAATCCATCATTTGTAAGCGAAACATTCATTTTAGACTTAAAAATGTATTTGTTCTATTAGTATGCACTCCAAGATATTTTTATCCTTCTCTACTTTTTCGCGGTTGCTACACATTGAAAATGAAACTATTTTTTGGATCTATTATATATATTTGTTTATTTGTTTTTTTTTATAAATGTTTTGTCCAAAGTACAAATATTCATTGACAGTATCTACAGGTTTCATTTTAATTCAATTTCTATTTTACATTTGTCCTGATAAGTCAAGTCTTATTAGGGTTCATCTATACACTACGTGCTCTACTACTTAATAACACTTAATAATACATATAAACAGTTAAGTCACTTATTTCTATTTAAAATAAATACTTTCTCTTTTCTTTTTGTGCAACCGCTACCCATTAAATATAGACTAAGTATGATTTCATCGGCCCACTACACGCGTCTTAGGTCACGTAGGTAGATGTTATACTTAAGTAGCTTATTAGTTTTCTAGAGCTACTTTTATTGCTTATCATAATGTACATAAGCACTCGTTTAAGTATTGCACAACAATTAGTTTAATAAATAACCCTCCAATCCCAATTATGGAATGTACTGTTAAGAGCTGATGATTCTAGAAAGGTTTATAAAGTTGAATTGTTTATTGCCTGAGTAAGACGAATCTGTCTATTTTTTGTGAGTACTAATAAATACGTTACTTTATTAGAAAACGGAAAAAGAATCTTAGTGCATAAAATAATTATAGATACGTGTTGTGTAAGTTTGGCAGCCGCAGGTAGGAGTCCTACCGGCATTCCTCTCCGCTACCTCCGCGGCAGAGAGGTATCCTAGGAGAATATCCCCACGAAAGAAAAAAAGGCCCTCGTCTAAGATCGCTATTAAGACGCGCTAGCTGCGCTAGGATGTCCCAGCCACATGCTACTGGGGCAGACAAACGTATCCATCCACACAGCTAACCCCGTCGAGTCCTTACCCATGTCCGAGACGGAGGCTTGACCCGGACGCCCGCCGTACCCTGCTTTTGCCGGGGAGCTCGTAGTCTCCAAGGAACTCCCTATTTCTCGGGTCGGTAGATAGGAACAAAGTACAGCGAAGACAAAGAACAGCCCCATATCTTTCTACATTCGTTTTGATTATAGTGACCCTCCCTGCCGACCCCGGGTATACGAGAAGGGCACTATAACCTTATAAGTAAGCCAGTGTACAGGGTTGTCACAGACCTCTGTCATTTGACTTCATCCGGTTCTTCGACAGGCTAGTGCCTCTGGTGAGCCGCCCCGGGTGCACGTACTGTACCCGCCCTATTTTCCAGATAGGTACCGGAGCTGTAGGTACACTCACTTCCCGTTGCGCGTTGCACAACTAGCGGTTGCCACCGCTAAGCCGTTGACTCTGATCCCACTACTACAGGAACCCACAGGAGCCCACAGGAACCCACTACTATAGGCACGATTACTTCCCGCCTCTCCAGTTCCCAATAACCTAAGCAGCTGGACGGACCGGAGAATATCTAGCTTATTTTCTACTAGCTCTCCGGGGTAATGCCGGAGATGCTAGTCGCAGTGTCCTGCGACAATGTCCGGACATAGCTTCCAACTTAAAGGGCATCTCACGTGTCCAGCGCGTCCTCTCGCTTCAGGCCCTCAACTAGACCACTACTAAGATGCGCTAACTGCTCACGAGACAGACGCACCGGCCAGACCCAACCGGGACAGACAAACATGTCCGTCTCTGCAGCTAACCACAAACCCCAACGAGTCCATACCCAAGTCCGGGTCCACCAAAGGCGTATCACTGGCGGAGGGCTTGGCCCGGACGCCCGCTGTACCCTGATGTTATCGTCGAGCCCGCAGTCTCTCCTGAAAACCCTATCTCTCGGGTCGGTAGATGGGGACAAAGACAAAGGACAGTGAAGTGTCATGGAACCCTATCTTTCCGGTTTGCCGTCTAAACTACTGCTTCCACTAATTTATCATTCAATCTTTGACAATAATGCCGTTTTAACCACAGCTTCTATAGAAACAGTGTAGCCGGAAAGACTGCTGTCTTTCGAGACCTTTGATATTAACGGTTATCAGATATTGTCACTACCAGATTAGGCTAGCACAATTGTGACACGTAATATCCATCAAACATCAAAAAACCAGATCTGAACCTTTTTTCATAAAAAAATTTCAGAAAAAAGATTCAATGAATTATATTTATTTTAGAATGCAACTCAGGATCTCTTTCAAGAAGCTGTTTCAAAAGTGATTCAACTGATACACTCTGAAGACCTTTAGCATATGTTTATTAAAACATGTCGCAATCAGTATTAAATTATCACAATCGTTTTAAGTCCGATTTTATTATTTTCCCTTAGTAGCAAGAAAAACAAAATTATGTTGCGAGGTACATAAATAAGTACATTCGTAATCAACATAAGTATCTCGTTTTTTCCGTCTAGAAAGTCACGTAAACAAATTATCTTTATTCCATGTGACAAGCAATTCACCTGTAGGCAACATAATAAAGTCAAGTAAGGTATGGAACATATTATGAAAACCGTTGGAGTTATTTTTATTTGATAATCATAATATTTAATAATATTGGACTACCACAATTGAAAATTGACCGGTTAGGTTGTCGAGATATTTTTAGTTAGGTTGATAGTGAGTAAATTGTTTTACTTATTTCGCTGACTCAGCATCCCAAAGTGGTCTTGGCGTCTGACACCAAAGTACGCCACCTTTTCGTGCTCTACGAGTTCCGACCATTCGAGTACATTCAGCTCCTTTAGATCTTTGGCGACTCCATCCTTTCAGCGGTATCTCCAAAGACTTTCAGATTTTATGATAAGTTATTTATTATGGATAACATGATAATTATATTAATTTTTTAATTATTTTATGTGGTAATTTAATCATCAAAATTGTATTCAATATTACAAAAATAATTAATTCTCTGAATTTCTAATAATTATAAATCCAATACGATTTGTAATAAATATAATCTAAATACGATCTTTTGGCGTCTTGATACTCCTTCCTTTCTATATGCCCAGCTTGCCACATAACCAGCGAAGTCTGACAGATTTTAATTTTCCGATTATATTCAGATCTTTTTTTATGATACCAAGTGACTGGACAAACAAATCGTGTACCTGGTGATAAGCGACACGTCTGTCCATGCAATTGCAGTGCTATAAATCACCCTGAGCTATAAATCAAAACGGTCTGTGGGGTACTGCCAATGCGTCTGTTAGCCTGAGAGTTAATAACTATTATTCTCAACTCTCTATTTAAATAATTAATAACATAAGTTGGCAAATCCCATCTGCCTGTATTTTCATCAGCTTTATTTTTCAAAACCGGAACGCTCACATTATTGCTTGGCGGCACAAATTGTTAAGTCCTTGTTTTTTTTTTTAACTTGTTCACAAGGATCTCTACTGACAATAAATTGTCTATTGAATTTAGCCCAATTAAAAACAATACAACGAACTAGACTATGTGCAATATTATAAGGAAACCTAAAATATTGTTATTTTTCCCACATCCACAATTTAAGCGCGTTCTGAAAGTAAAAAAGATCTTAGTAACAAAGCATTTTTGAAAAAAACAATTTTAATATCTAATCATCATGTTTATCGATTTTTTTTTATTAAAACTTGCAAAAACGTTTCAATAAACGGATGGAACTTACCCATTATAATTTAAATAAAATAAATTTTATGTGAGTGTGTATTAAATGTACTAGCATTAACGTATGAAGGAAAGGCTAGGGTAATTACCTACATAAATTGTAAAATTGTAGTAAATCTAGCACATGGTGGCTTTCCGGTTACTCATCAAATTTGTTTACAGTGCTCGACAATTGTAGTCTATGTCAATACAAAATATCTTCCAATGCTGGTTACAGATATCTTTTTTTAGATATACTCAATACTCTATTGCTTTTCCATAATGTTAACAAGTTGTTACTAAATATATACAGAAACCAATATGGACCCTGTCGGGCACAGCAACTGAAAAAGAGGCATTTTTGAAAATTTATTAATTGAGTAATTGCTGCAAAATTATTAATAGTAATTGAGAAATTATTATTGTCGGAATAAAACATTTTATAATCTAAAAAAATATAAAGCCATTGCAAAAGAGAATTTAGAATTTTTTGTTACTTTTGTTATCCCATCTACCTAACAAATCACGATCAAAATACGATAAAAAAAAAGCAGTTCGAATGATGTAGTGGCTGATGAGCCTATATATTACATATATTATTGCTTGGCGGCAGAAATATGTAGGTAAGGTGGCAGTACTTCTCTGGGCGAACTCTTTCACAAACAACTCTACTGCTACTAAGGTTGACATTTATTTAAAAGAAACTTGAAACATAGCGGCCACTGAACAAATACAGTCTTCTGACATTATTATGTTTTCCATTTTTCTCCGTATCCGTAAGTAGGTACGTTTGTATGTTATCATTAGAAAAGAGGCTCAGGAAAGTTACGGTCGTAAGCACAACGTGCTTATTTGCGCAGAACGAAAGGGCAAAATGTGACAGATGTACGTACACAACCGCAAGCGGAGAAGGGTTCGTTAGAATGACCTTTTATTATCAAATCTATCGCGTCAAAACTATGGCTTAGACTGCTTGTTCATCAATTAATCTCTGGTTATCACTTAGGGTCACTGAATAATAGATTTAAATACGTACAAGTAATAAAAAACAAGATTTTCATAAACAGTAGGTAATATTACAAAAAAAAAAAAATCACACCTTCATAAGTTTACTTAAGTATAATTTCAGTGCATCAGCAGTTATACGTGGATCGTGAAGCCGTGACAAATTCCCGGGTTAGATTTCTGGCTGAAAAGAATTGAGACAAATTTCTCAGTAGCGCTACTGACAAATTCGTCTCAATTTTTTGCGAGTCTACTGTGGGTCTACGGGTCTACTGTCGTTCTCCGTTCGACATCAGTCCGAAACCATTACTGTCAAATACTCGATCAATTTAAAAAACAATGTCAATTATGAAGCTGCATTCGCATTATGCGTCTTTTATTTGGTCAAATATTACTTATTTGACAATTTCGGATGGATGTCGGACAGAGAACGAAGTACAAGACCTGGTGTGAGTATTTCGTGTCAAACCCTCGAAGTTAATTTTTAATCTACATAGAATTCCTATTTCGGGAAATTACAGATGGGATTGTGTTTATTTATTTATAGCGATTCATTACCTTAAGGCTGCAACAGATTAATGGCATGTTTGAAACCAACGTCATGCAGCCGAGATCGACTGCAAGCAGTTACTGCGTGAAGTCGTTATCAACTTCATGCAGTTGATGTCTAGGCTGCATGAAGTTGATTACGACTTCACGCATTGTCTGCAAACATGCAGTCCATCTGTTAGCAGGCTTAAATGTGATTATGCGCATTTAGTGGGCTATTTTAATGGAGGCATAGCGTGATTGATCTTAAAACTCTCGCATACTATTATTTCTTGTCACATTTAATATTTAACTAAAAAAAATTTTGCAAACTTTTTTTAATTTACGGTGTACGGAGTTACCACCTCATAGTTTCTTACAGCCTCATAGAAAATTTCATTAATGTCATCAATGAGACTATCTAGAAACATGGTCCAAATTGTTTGCTTTTGTTTTGAATAAACGTCATTTATTCAGCTGAGAGTTTGATTACTGAAACGTATACAATATGAAAACTTTAACTTCAATACAACATACATTCAAGAGACTAAAGATTTTTACCATACAGCTTAGTCGTCCGCTCGCATTGTGTAAACAATTTTGCTTTTATTCTATATTATCCTTGCATTTATTAAGAAAAGCTATATAAGCCTCAGCAGTGGAAACAGTAATTGCTCGGCGTAGTACGGAAGATTCTAACTCATACTCGTCCAGCGATTTCTACTGGACAATAATGCACTATTATGACTTAATACATAATTTTAGAAAACTAAATCATCTCGTCATTGGTATCATTACCCATTTAGTACCTACCAAACTAGGACCCGCATAGTTTTGTTGTGTTTGCCTGTCTGACCATCTTTCCGGTCGGTCATGTTACAGACTCGAGATGAAATTTAGTGTAAAAACCGAAAGAGGGAAACTGAAAAAAAAAATTTTTGAATTAAAAAAAAAAAAAGCATTTATTATACGTTAAAAATAATCTATTTATTTATAATACTTATGTAAGTAACGGTATTTTTTAATTTTTGTTTGTCTGGTAGTTTGTAATATTTCTCTCTTGCACGCGGTTGCCCGCTTATGACCTTTGCTCTCACTGCCTTGGGTTGGCTGGAAGAGATATCTTTTAGAGATAAGTCTACCTTTGCTCACCTTCTGTTCAGTTAATATCTCTGTTGTATTTATTTGGTGCAATATGCATGGTGAAATTTCGTAGGACTGTTTTTTAGGTTTCGCAAAATTGTTACTAACACGTGTTAGGGGTAGACTCCTGTTTGTCCACAATGTCATCCACTAAAAACAGACAATAGCGAGGCGTATAAACTGAATATGATTAGCCGACTTGAGTAACAACAATGGAACCCTTTTATGAGAATCACCACACGCTCGCAACTTTTTTGAAATCTCAGTTCATTACACACTGTATAATAAAAACAATATGAACTGGAAACTTTGACGGAGCATTGATAAATACGTCAACCAAATAAACAAAATTGTGTTGTTGCAATACACTTACTTTGTTACAGAAGTTTGTAAATTTCTTTCCTTTGACTTTTAATCTTACGTTTGTGTACGTTACATCAAACTATATTCAGCTTTGCATTTACAAATTTAAGCATTAATGATGTAATTTTGGTTCATTCAGAGTTATAAATTGACCACAACACGAAATTCCCTATATGCATATGAATCGCAACCATTATCGTCAGCCTATGCGTCAATTTGTAAAGGACAATTGTATCGATGTGAACGCGGTCTTATTGACTGGAGTTAGACACTATAAAACCAATTGCAGGCAAATATAAGTCGGCAGTCTTTCGCAGAACCCATGTCTGTCAACAACTAGATTTGGCACTGGGTTTGGAACGCGACGCATACGCATCTTAAACAAAGTGAAGTGGTGTTCTAAAATTGTGAGTATTCACAAAACAACTTATTTTCAAAATTAAATTAATATATCAATAATAAATCTGTTACATTAATTTAAGAAGTTAATTATACATTGGAAAATATTTTCATGATTACTATCAATTTTTTTTTCCTTATTAGGTACTTTTAAGGGAAGTACATAATTTTATTTAATTTTATCACCTACACCAGCTACCTTACGTCGCTACCTACACAATCTAGTTGAGTATATTTTTTTTCAACGACACGCACATTACTGAGGAAAATAAATCAATCAACAGGTAAATTGAGTCAGGTAATAAGTAAAATTTTCTTTACAATAGTTTATTCACAAATGTGGACATGATAAATATAATCTTAAACTCGACCTTTACCGAACTATCTGCCATAAACTTGTTTAAACATCAGTATTGATAACAAACGATGAAATTAATGTCACTATTGCGCCCTTTTTATATAGATAAATATATAGAAATATAAACTAGGGCCTAGTATAAAAAGCAAAAAACAAGACATTCCGTGGATAAATATTAACACATAATTTATTTCACTTGATTTTACGTAATTAATGGATCGCAAAGCTTTAGGCCTAATGTTGCTTAAAGAATATTGGGGCGAAAAAGCTTGTCCGTGAAACCTAGGCATTAGAACTATCTTAACTAAAAACTTATGAGATAAAGATGATTTGTTTGTTTGAGTTTGAAATATAGACGGGATATTTTTTTTTTATTTTGTTCACTTCGCCATGTTTCTTAGTCTACGTTTAACTCACAGTAAAGACGGATCATAAACGACAACTTAAAAATACCAGTCACACAGTATTATTTGGAATGGTGTATCAACATGTTCGAAATTAATATTGAAAAAGATACCTATTAATTTTCTAACTTAGTGACCTGTATCGTTAATTTATTATGATACAAAGGACCAATACATATTAAAACGTAAATACTAAGACTAAGACTGCAATAAACGACGACATTGGGTCCCCGGGGTAGAGCGCCTGAAAAACTTACTGCTTTTGTTTGAACATGCTCTCAAACATGTTGGGCAAATTAGCTGCCAAACCTTGGCTCTCTCTGGCGGCCCATTAATCTTGTTGTAACATATTAGTTTAATATTAATCCATTTTCTCCAGTTTTTTTCGACGAAGGTATGAACAATTATTTGGAATAATTATTAATACAAAGATCGTACACTAAGAAAAAAGGCTGGATTTAAACCAGCGTCTTCTAGAAAACCGTTAACCGTGGCAGACGCTACCTTAATTAAGTCACGGAACGAACTTGCGGACCTTACGAATTTTTCTATGCTTGTTGCAGATCTTCGTTTTTGGGTTTGAACGACTATTTTACCGTAGCGCCATTTGTGAGAAGTATATTTCTTCATTAGTGAAGAAATATACTTTTCACACCTACCTGGCCTCTACCTGGCTGAGGCCAGGTACCTTTACAGCTACTCGCAGCTGACTAGAGGTGTCGCTTTAATAATTGTAATTTCTAAGTTTCTTGAATGTGACGATGGTTGTCCACCATGATATTCAATTATTTTTGTGAAATTACTCCACTAGTTTGTTATGATTGTTAATACAAAGAGCGAACACTAAGAAAAAAATTCTTCGACCCGGCTGGATTCCAACCAGCGTCTTCTAGCAAACCATGCCAGCCGCTACGCCAACTAAGCCACGAAATGAACATCGTAACATTCATTAAACTAACAACATACAATTATTTGGAATTCAATGACCAAAGTATTAAAAGGCAAAATTGGGTCCCCGGGGTAGAGTGTCTGAAATGCGTTCGGCTTTTGTGTGACCATGTAGCCGCTTGTTGGCCAAGGTCACCAACTCTTGGGTCTCTTAGACTGTGCATTAATCTTTTGAACCTATTACTTTAACATTAATCCATTTTCTTTGAAATTCTCCATACGGCATCTCCAATTTGATCAACTAAAAAATTCATAGAGCTCGATTGCTAAAGTACATTGGATAATAAAAAAAATGTAATCGCATTGTTTCAGTTGATATTAAGTACGTTTAAAAGAAGGTTTAAAATTGTCAAGGTACGTTTAAAATATAGATTTTTGACTATTTGTACTAAGCTAAGAATTGTAGTACCGTATAGCTAAAATATCTGCTTGCGCATTGATTAGCCAAGTGTTTCTACTCTGGAATCGATGACTACTCTACTATTCCGCAATTTATTAATGATCATTACGAACTCAATGGCTCTCTCATTCATTAGAATTTCTACGAATTATTTACGTAAGGTAAATTCTTTAAAATACTTACCTAATTTCTCTACAACGTAAATTGTTATTATTATATACGATTTAGTAAATCAATTAAATAAAAACATCTAAACCAAAATCTTGGTTTAAAAATTTTAAAAATATTTTATATTGTATAGTAAGGTATGTAAGGAAGTGGCTAAACCCTTTGTACCTGCAAACAAAAAGTAATTTTTATTGTATTTTTTAAGCAAAAACTTGAAAAAACGTGCTTGGCACATTAAAAAAATTAAAATCTTGTTAAGCAATTAACTGATTATATTGTTACAAATGTAATCAATTACACATGCTTCATTTCCAATAAATTGTAATTTGAAGTTAAAAACAACAAATATATTAATTTAATACAATAATATTCCTTAGCGATATAATAATTATATTATTTTGGATAGTTATCTCTCAATTACCATCAAATGGGCTTCACCTAGGCACTAAATTACTTTTGAGTGACCTCAATGGGTTCACAAGGCAAATGGACTTTGGCCACACGCCTTACAAAGAACAGAATGAGTGTGACTCTATCGAAGCATTCATCGTAACCACGCGATCACGCCACTCTCGCGCACAGCGTCACATCGGTCACCTCGTGTTTACACTTAACAATATTAGATTATTCATTGATATGAATTATGAGGTGTCTGAAACATCAATTTGATCAACCCTAAATACGCGCACATTGTCATTTATCATCAATTTGCACGATCAAAAGTGAACGACACAATAAAGCAATAATGTGTAATGACAGAAGCATCTTAACGATAATGTTTTGAAGCACTTAAGTTTATCTGTTTAATAACAGAATGATTCTTAATTGAGTTGTTATGAGAAATAATACCTTTAATTTATAAAGCCAAATTTTTATCATGTTATATTTATTAGCGTATGACTAATGCGCCTCACAAAAGTGAACTAGCTTCATAATGACAATGCTAAATGAACGGCGGCCTATAAAATTCCTCACATTTATGATATATCTCACAGTTTACTTACCATCAAACATAATCGTGTCTCAAGTAGCCTTTGAAACCACAGATAATTACATCAATTCTATTGTTATGTTGTTGTTACGTTCATTTTGTGTCCTAGTAAGTAAATAAATCCCAAAAATAAAACACGATTGTGTTACCTAACATAAACAGAGACATAACGTTCCGAAATATTTTGTTAGTTCCCTGATTCAGAGGTGATAAAATAATGTTTGCCTTGCGCAGCACCAAAAGGCAACCACTCACTTCGAAACTGCTTCTCACCATTTGGTTATTCTGGGGCGCACGGAACTCAACTTACTTTGCCATTCCAGTGGTATCTTAGACATCACACGGTGTGATTTTTAATATGTAAATATTTTCTCGTCGTTTTCAGCAAAATGCCACCACAAGGTGAAAATTCTTGGGTGCTGTACGAGACCGACGCGGCCGCGGAAGACAAGACGCCCACCATTGTCGCCCCCTCGGCTCAGAAGAGGGAATTGCAGATCGTATGGAGAAACGTAGCCATTTTCGCCTATCTTCACACAGCTGCAGTTTACGGCGCATATCTCTTTTTGACACAGGCTAAATGGGCTACTTGCGCTTTTGGTAAGTATGTTTTCGTGTTTACCTTGTTTATGCATTTGCTGAATAACGACCTGGGAACTCCAAATATCTTCACGTTATTTACCTGTCATAAAGTATTGTTTTGTGATTACTTATGATCCACAAATATCGTCAAAGCTAACAAACGTTTAAATGTTCTAGTCGACAAACAGGTATTTTGAAAAGCTAGTGTAATTGTATCCATCTTTTCGCTTAATTATGATGCATAACTGGTAAAATGTTTTTTTTTTTGGGGTTAATTCATTTTGGAACCGATTTTTTATCCAAATCTTGTTATTACAGCGTTTGTGCTCTACCTTTGCACGGGATTGGGCATCACAGCAGGAGCACATCGTCTGTGGGCTCATAAATCATATAAAGCCCGTTGGCCACTCCGTGTGCTGCTTACCATCTTCAACACAATAGCCTTCCAGGTAATTCTTTTAATTAATTAAAATAACAACGTTTACGTTATCTTCTGTGTTATCTACTGCTTGGGACATATGTGTTATCGGCAATATATGTAATCCGGTATTCTTTACAATACCTAAGTATTCGAGAAAAGCCAAAAACAGTCAGGCAAAGTATGAAATAAACTCTATTACACGCTTGGTATAGGTATTCTATACAATGCGCATTAGGCAATATATAAAATTTTTTAAATGTAAGTGCACAAAGCAATGTAATAATAAGAAGTGCCTGTATCACAATAGTTCATCTTGTAAGAATATGTAGGCAATTAGAACAATTGATAATTAAGGAATACCTTTTATTTTTATTTTTTTAAATATTTTTTCGGGTATATTTTTGGTTGTGGTGTTTGTCACTGTGGTTGCGCTTGTGTTATTTATTTTATTAATTTTATGCAGAGAGAGGGTAGAAAAATTAACTGCATAAAAAATAATAACACAAGCCTAGCTATTTTGCACGATTTAACCTTCACTGGGTTCGCGGAGCAGCAAATTCATTTCCATTTTTATTAGCTGTGAGTGTGTTTTTTATTTTGAGCGTTATTTATTTATTTATTATTTTTTCTACGAACGAAATTAGTACTTAATTATTATTATGACTTTGCACATAGCACGTTTGACTTATAATCACATGTAGCTTTATAATACCAAGGGTATAATAGCCTGATGTTACAGGTTATAAACTTGCATATAATGGTAGTAGACAGGGCTGGGCAAAATACATGCTACATCTAAATTGAAATACAAATTACAAAATACTTCCTTAAATGTATTTAAAATACAAAATACCAAATACTTTCTTGAGCTGTATTTGAAATACAAAATACTTTCATGGGGTGTATTTAAAATACAAAGTACAAATACAAATTACAAAATACTTTATTAGTATACCTATCGCGACATGTGGAAGCCAACAATTTCCTTCAAAGCTTTTTCCTTCCGCTATACATATCTTGAAAAAGAAGTTTTATATATTCAGTTTTACCAGATAACCGCGAAAAAACGACTTTGACATCTTTGACAATACCATGCACTGTTGCCACCTGCAAATGTGCTTCTACTGCATTGAATACGAGTATTTAAGATGTCGTGAGTGCTGTGTGTCGGTCTAATGAGAACCCTAGTGCACAAATAAATAATGAAGATCAAATGCGGGTAGTTAGAAAAACTCGCACGGCTAGAAGATGCTGACACCTGCCTCTTCAGTCCCTTCGACACCATGGACGTTGCAACATGTCCAAAACGTCGAGGTAAATAAAATATGTTTTATACGTGATAAAGTTCCGAATTAAAAATCACATAATTTCATACTTCATTTTTCGAACGTTCCGTTTCACACACACACACACACACACACACACACACACACACACACACGTCACCATTGAGTTCAATATCATATAAATCTATGCACGTCACATAATAGGCATTGAAAAAAAAAAGTATTTTGTTGTAATGTATTTTACAACGAAAGTATTTGAAATACAAATTCCAACATACATAATGGTCAGATATTTGAAATACCAATTACAAAATACATTTTTAGGGTGTAATTGAAATACAAATACAAAATACGTATTTGTATTTTAAATACGTATTTCAAATACAAGTAATTCAAATACTGCCCAGCCCTGAGTCATAGATAATGATAAAAATTAGCTATTTCGACGCACGAACCAGCGACTGTCACCCCAACGTGGCCACGGATCGAAGGAATTTTCCTTTGTATTTGTTAAAATTTTGAATCAACAATATATAAGACAATTTATTTTTTGTTTAAATTTCTTGTTATACTCAACAAGTCCAAATTTATATAACATAAGAAAACTAATGTCGTAACTTAAAATTGTGCAATTGAGACAAAACAATTTTAAAGTTTAAAAAATTACTGAATGACACCAATAAATTTACATTCTCGTTTACAAGTTGATAACTAAATATTATGTAGAAAATAAAATAATCACATTATTCGCAATAAGATCCATTTTGATTTTTTTTAACTTTCAAATCGTGTTTTCTCAATTCCGCCAATTTTTGAGTTACAACAGTATCTAGTTTCAAATGCCATTATATGTCTATTAATCATAGCCGACTGCCATACTACGTACAAAGTATGAAAAAAGTACGTTTTCTTTAATATTTAAGATTTATAATCAAAAAGGAAGTCGCACTTCACTTAATTCCAAAGTGACATTAGCAAACAAAGGTGTGTAAACAAATGATTATAAATTTCATTATCGCAAAACGTGGTCGAGCATGTATTTGTCACGCGTGTATACATACACCTTTGACATTATTACTTTTCTGCATAATGTCTTCTTGATAACATCGGTAGTAAAATATACTTAATTACTACTTGATAATGATTAAAGTTCACAGTGGCTTAACTTTCTGTGATATTCAACATCGAAAAATCGGGCTTCCCGAATAAAGTTGACTGTTGCCATAACAATTAAATTATCTTTACCACTTTTTTATACAGCGCAAAATTCTTCGAGCTATGTAAATTTAGATCAACTATTTATTATTAAAATTAAAAAGTTTGTGTAAGTTTGATGTAAAACTAATAGAATATAATAGAATAGAATAGAAAAGTTGTGCTTAAAATTAATTACGTCTCAAATTTATATAAAATTAGTATTTGTAAATTCTAAATATTTTTTATTCTATTTGTTATAATTCATAAGCCATTTTGTCAATTGTGATTTAAAGTAGGTCCGTGTAGTAATTTAAATTCATTTAGTAAACTATTGAAGATCTTTATGCACATATTGAAGCCGTTATTCCTATAAATTAATTTATTGCAACTAGGTTGGTATAAAAGGTTCATGATTTTAGCTCTAGTTTGCCTTTGTATCACTTCACCACGAACAACGGTTTGCAGCTATCATCGACATCTCTCACCACAGGTCGCTCGAATACACTTCTTCTAAACCTTGAACGTTCTTTCTAAATCTACAGAGTTAATCCCATAATATAGGACCGTAGCTGAGCACGCATGCAAACGTAGCCGTTATAGACCGTCAGCGCCGCTTCTTGAGAGACAATTTGTCTTAGTCTCTAATACATTAAGGCACGGATTTGATAATGAACTACCTATACATATAAATAAAACATGCATGCGGGGGTCTGTGACATTAATATGAATACCTATATGTAAGAGGAATATGCTACATGATGTCTAATATTGTATGGTAATTTCTTTTTCAGGATTCAGTGATAGACTGGGCCAGAGACCATCGCATGCACCACAAATACTCCGAAACTGACGCCGATCCTCATAATGCTACCCGAGGTTTCTTTTTCTCCCACGTAGGCTGGCTGCTGGTGAGGAAACATCCTCAAATCAAGGCCAAAGGACACACAATTGACATGAGCGACCTTTGGGCTGATCCCATTCTTAGATTTCAGAAACAGTAAGTGAAGTTCAGAACAGATCGAAAATATTTTATTCGATTTAGCGAATATAAGACTCTTTCATATTTAAATTTACTTCTTCAATTTATTGTGCCAAATAACCACACCAATTATCCGAACTCAAACTGGGAAATTGTCTGTACTGTGAGTACTAAAGCAAAGAAATTAACTCCGGGATACCTAAAACACCCAGACCAGGATCAATTTAGTAAAGTTCCTTCCCAAATTGGTTCTGCCGGGAATCGTATCCGAGAACTCCTCATCTAGCGCCTACAGTGCATACTGTTGGGATATCGGGGTCGTCAAACTAAATAGATTTAGTTTGACGTACTTTACTACTACTGTCGTTTCGTAAAGTGCTTCTTTCACGGGAAATAAATATTGAAAATAAAATTTCAATGTCAAAATATTTCTATTTCATAAGTAAACAAATTACATTTAAAATCGCCATATTTTCTTGCAGCACCGTAAAGCTGGGTAGTGCAGTCGTTTTAACAAAAAACTAAAATACCATTTGCAATCTATTCTACTTCTAGATTTATTTGTGAAATAATATATACAAATAATAATGGTCCCTGTTAGTATCTAATTGTTTTCTTTAATTTCAGGAACTACACGATCCTCATGCCCTTGGCATGCTTCATAATGCCATCAGTGATCCCAATGCTATGGGGAGAGTCTCTATGGAACGGCTACTTCGTATGCGCAATATTCCGCTACGTGTACGTTTTGAACGTTACTTGGTTGATCAACTCCGTTGCTCATATGTTCGGTAACAAGCCTTATGACAAGAATATCAACCCAGTTGAAAATATTTCAGTAGCTTTAACAGCCCTTGGTGAAGGTTTCCACAACTACCATCACACGTTCCCATGGGACTATAAAACAGCGGAATTGGGACATTACACTTTCAATTTCTCCAAGCTGTTCATTGATACCATGGCTAAACTCGGATTAGCTTACGATCTTAAAACAGTCTCCAGGGATGTGATTGAAAAGAGAGTGAAAAGGACAGGTGACGGGAGCCACGAAGTTTGGGGATGGGGCGATAAAGATATTCATCCTGAAGACAAAGAAGCTACCACCGTAGTTAATCCTGACAAGTCAGAATAAGAGACTAAAATACCAAATGTTAACATACAATGTAATTACGTAGTATCTAAAGTGTAACTGTAGTCATAGCAGGCTTATATTGCCAAAGATTTGTGATTCGGAAAAAACTACAAATATTCCTGTAGACTGAATTCATGACAAAAATAAAAGATCAACACATCGATCTGTTTAGACTGAAATATTATTGTTGAAATGAACCTGGACCTGGAAAATTTTTAATATATTTACGTAAAGGTAACTAGGTAATTACGTAAATATGATTATGTAGTATTGAATGGTGACAGCTGTTAGCCTGTAGCGGTATAGGTGATTTGAAATAATTAAGAATTATCCAAGATCTTTCTTAGTTTAAAAGAAATGTTTCGTAATGTTTAATAATGATTATATCATATTTATTTACTTGCACGTTTATTTTTCTTAGCTCAAACAGAAAAGTTCCCTATAAAAAATTAAACAAGAAATGGGGTTTACGAGCGCGTGCCCACGCTAAGAAAAGTATCCGAGTCTATGCAAGAATTCGTGTAGTTTCTACACACGAGCTGTGTACACTGCCTCATCGCCGGACAAGAAAAAAATCTTGTCTACCCTCGACACGACGTGCTCTGCTATTGTATAGGGCAGGGTGAGGTGCATTATCAGTAAATGGACGTTTATGCGCGTGGACGGGTGTTGCATAGTAGTCGACATATATAACAACACACTTCTTCCCACAGTCGGTAGTAAAACGACAGCTACCTGGAAGACTCGTGATGCACTGTTACATTTTACCCTACACACGTCTGTCCGAAAGCATCCTAGATCCGTGGCTAGATCCGACAAAGTTCTTGTCGTGTACAAGACCATTCTCATCTTTTCTGTAGCAGACACGTCGAATTTCTTAGCGTGTACACGCGCATTAAGATAATAGAGTCGCTTTCATGCTTATTACTGATTAAAACTTACAAAACAATGACAAAATTATAACCTAAGATAATAAGAGCCAGTGCTATTCAAAAGTCAGTATAAATCATAGATATCTAATGTATACGAGTAAATGGAAAAGACCGACCAAAAATAGAATAGGCACACCCAGGCTTTTGAGTGCTTCCGTGTTCATCTGTTCACTCTTGCCTGATGCCTACACGAGGAATACATTTGCATGTAGCTTACTGATTGTACATTGGTCTGTCGGTAGTAACACGGGAGATTATTATTGCCCGTGTAACTACTAGTAGTTCAGCTGATAGCACCACGGGCAACAAAGATAACATTATCGTGCACAAATGTGTACTTATGTTTGAATCACAATATTGCATATCTGATTTGTTTGTTTATAAAAGTGAATCCTATCTGATCAGAAAACCCTTGCTAATCACATGCGTCTCCAATAGAACGCCATCATATCCTGACCAAAGCTGCCAGCTTCAAGCGGCTCTCTGCGACCTTTACCTAGTTCACTTTATTTTTAGTTACATTCTAAGGCACGTTTCAGGGTAATTAATGTACGTATTTAATTAATTTAGGCGTGCCCACCATTATCAGGGTATCATATTGCATAATAGCCACTTAAAACATTAATTTGCAACTCACTTAATCTTCTTGATGGAAACCAATCGAAACTTAGTGGAAAGTGACGCTAAGTTGTGACCATAATATTCGTACATTATATAGTTATAGGTTGTTAAATTAATGAAATGAAATATTTATTCGCAAGCAAACACGGTAAGAAAAGATATTGTTATACAAGGTGTCAAGAACACGTGTTGCACCAGATACTGGCACGCAAATATTAAAATAAATGGAAGTTAAATAATGTCATAAATTTAAATTATACAATTTGTCAAATAAGCAATGTCATATAAAATTAAGTAAAAATGCCAATAAATAGCAACACCAATAAAATCATAAATTAAACAATATCAAAGAAGTAAGAACAGCACACATGTAAACAAAATGTCAAATACAAACAAAATGTCAATTTCTTTTTATTATTAAACTTAAACCCTATATTTAAAATTCACATAGATATATAAGCACTTATTTATCCTTTGGTATCAAAAACACGTTCATCTCGTGCATTAAATACATATATACTTTATATGAACGGACAAGATAAAACTTTCAATTGGAATATCCATTTCAGATAACTATGTATACAATAATTTGTAATGGATTGTATATGTTGATTTTCGTAGCATTCTGTGTTGTTCAGAGCTCTCAAGTTATATACTAAATTGTTTTTCGATTGCATATCAAAACACAATTATCCTTTTGTTTTAGGTTATGACAGCCAAGGTTGCTTTCTCATTCCACACTCTTGCCATACAAAGTTATGGGAAATATAAATAACTTCATTATTTACATGTGTACCCTGAACCCACACAGGGGCTTGTAATTTCAATTAGGTCGAGATCTAATATCACTATATGGCTGCTGACAAATTACCCCCCTGTTGACACTCAATTACTTTCGTGTACAGCATGTTAACTGCTTAGTGGAAGTTATGATAAAGTCAGAAATAGAAGCAATACGCGTTTTTTTCTGAGATATTATGATACTATCCTGAGATAATGAATATATAGGTTGTTAAACATCGTAAAAATCAACATGTACCTACCTGACATATTTTGTGTTACAAACAAGTACATTGATTTGTAATCTATATATAAAATACAGAATATTGTACTCAATTTTATTCAATTATACCTGATCAAAAAAGTACTGCAAGTACTGCCGTAATGTACGTGTACATTGCACGTATCGTTGAGATTTTAGTATACCATAATCTCGAAAGAGATGAAAAGCTTCAGCAACACCCTATATAACGAAATGAATTGACGCTTAGAGAAAAAGTTTCGCGAGTTATCAGTCTGCTTCCCGCATCGAACAGTGTTGTGAGCATCATTTCTCTGGAATAAAAAGCAAAAAATGCTAAATCAAAGCGATTTTGAAAACGGTTCGTTTATAAGTTTTTTTGGACCAGTTGAAATGGAGATTAACGACGATGATGGAGAATCAATTGTAATGGACATACTCTTTAGTATCTTTATAGTTATTTGCATGATTGTCAGCATAGTGGGAAACGTCTGCACCTGCGCTGTCATCGCACGTGATAAAACGATGAGGACTCCCACCAACTGCTATCTTCTTAACCTTGCAATCACTGATCTAATGACCGCGCTCTTTGTTCCAATAGAAATATACGTACTAATGGTGCCAGATTTCTACCCTTTTGGCGAGGTCGGATGTCGCTTTCACTTTTTTCTGTGGGACTGCTTAGGCAACTGCAGTGCCTTGACTATATCAGCCTTTACTGTAGAACGTTACTTGGTAGTATCCAAGCCATTTCTTCGACAGAAGCTGGTATTAAAGTCGAGAGTATACAAGATCATTGCTGCAATTTGGTTGACATCCTGTATTTTTTGTATTCCGGATATATTTTACATTGATTTGCTGGAAAGAAAAAAGTACGTGTTCTGTTACTTCTTCATGTCTGACGTGCTGACGATCATGATGATATGCGACATTTTGGTCTTCTTCGTAATGCCGATGACTATCATCACCGTACTTTATGTGTTAATAGCATTGAAGCTAAAGTCCACTACATTGAAGTTAAGGAGCAGTCCCGCCACAGGAAACCAGAGTCGCAGCAAAGCTGTGAAGATGTTAGGTAAGTACTGTGGGAGCGTAGCCGTGGTTATAACGTAGTAAGAGGTACTATTTTACAATAAACGAGGAATATAATCATAATTAAAGATTTACTGTGAGCGTTCAGTTTGAAGATTTGTCCAGAATTCCCGCAATGTTCATTTGACAACAACCTTCTATTTTTATACAATTCTAAATATAAAATAGTATAATCTAACCAGACTGTGCTACATCCCTCCTCCTCACAACTGAAGGCAAACTTACAAATGTGATCAGCCTTTACTGTAGGCTAGTCATACACTGCTCGGAAGCTGTTACTCTACTAAAGAGCAAAACTACTAAGGAGGCTATGGCTTTAATCTGCCAAAGACCTATCAAAAAGGACAGACTATGATCACGCCCTAAGCAAACAATTCATGTATATTTTCTATTAACCATCCTAGCTATTTATCTAAGCTACCAGGCGCCTCCACCACTTGTGGGACCGTAGCCGTAGTTATAGTGTAGTGAGAGGTAATATTTAACAATAACATAGTATAATTTAACCAGCCTGTGCTACAGTACCCATGTCCTAACTAAAATAGTGTTAATAACAAATAATAGGTGATGTACAACAATACGGTGTCTTGGTAATATTCCTTGGCTGGTTTGGTTAAAATCGGTCTATAAGGTGAAAATTCACCGCAAGTCTAAACTTGCGTAAGCACGCTGAAAGCTCGCGGTTGTAACTATGTTGCTTTAATCAAAATACAACCTTATCATTTATATTCAATGTAATGCCACTTAGGATAAGATGCTCAGCGTGTTATTGACTATACACCGTGTGATCTGCTGTTACAGCTGCCGTAGCAGCTTCATTCTTCTTCTGCTGGTCTCCATATTGCGTGATGCGAATCATGATGATCCACCCTGGAGACAATAAATATGAAGACTATTATAATGTAAGTAGATCAATGTTTGGATTTCCTACTTCAAGATTAACTTGAAGCATGCATTTAATTTAGTCATAAAATTAGGTACCTACAATTTGTTCTAAAGTTCAAATCAAATAAGAAAAAAATTACTATAAATGGTTATAAATGAATTTATTATATTATATATTTAATTCCTCAAAATATTCTCCGTTAGCGTTAATGCACTTTTTCATACGAATGAATCAATTTTGAAAACATTTATACCACTCCTCCGTGACAATCTCTGAAACATATTTTTCGTATTCTTCGACAGTCTCTTCAGGTGATGAAAATTGTTGACCGCGTAACTGGTTCTTAATTTTAGGAAATAAATAAAAGTCACAAGGTGCCAGGTCGAGACTGTACGCGGGATGATTCATAAGGTCAACGTTGTTCACCTTCAAAAATTCATTTGTCTGTCTGGCAGTGGTCGTGTACCAACCACTATTCACGATACAACGATTCTCCAAAGCAACAGTAGCCACGCGTCCAGTTTTATTAAAAAAAAGAAGCAATCATGCTCTTAGAAGCACTTGGCACGCGCGCCACTTTGGTTGACTTCAACTCATCTCGAAAGACCTCAAATGCTCGATTGCTGCTCGGTTTTGGGATCGTAACTATAAATCCATGTTTCGTCACCTGTTACTATGTCCTACACCAAATTTCACGTCTCCACCAAGTGACGCGATCCGTTTTTTGAGCTTCAGTCAAATTGTGTGGGATCCACCGAGAGCACAGCTTTTTCACACCTAAATGTTTTATTGTATTTGACTCATGCCTATGCCTAAGGATGAACGAATCTCATAGTATGTCACATACCTATCTTTTTTTATCATTCGGTGCACAGCATCGATGTTTTTGTTGTTCACAGCAGTGGACGGGCGACCATCACTGGGATTCACACGACCGCGTTTGAATTCTGCAAACCAGCTATAAATAGTCGCCCTGCATGTTGCTTCATTGTCAAAAGCAGTTTGAAGCCGAGCGAAGCTCCGCTGAGCTGTTAAATTACACTTAAAGTCGTAGAAAATCATAGTACGAAAATTATCACGAGTTAAGTCCATGGTGATGTAGGCAACCAATTTCTAAAATGACGCCACAATGTAAAAACAAGTGACAGTCAGATGAAACAAGCTGTATTCTACAGCCAAAGAGTTCCATTTTCAAATGTTGTAATTACTTTTTAAATGTTGTTTATGTAGGTGGCGAGTTCCGTGCGCCCTATGTATACGTCATGACTGTGCTAAAGTATCGAGTTGTTAAGTTTTCTCGATTGTTACACTTAGGAAATGCGTATACTTGTTTTTTCAAAAGCTTGTTTGAAAAAACAAAACAAATATACACGAGTTAAATCCAAAAAAATATTTTCATTTTCTATCTGCTAAACTAGTACTTACTGTAAAAATCTTCACGTTAAAGCAAACTTAAAATATTTGGCCCTAATAGAAAACTATCACAAAAGTAAGTTTAAAATTGACATTACGAACAACTATAATACTAAGCGAGCTCAAAATAAATATGTGTGTCAAGTAAACAATTATTACGGTAAAAGAACGAATAAACATTTATTGTTAATTATGCCTTTTTTCCACTTTACAGAGAAAATGAAAATTGATACTTCTTGAAAGCAAATAAATTTAATTAAACTCCTACACTGGTTTCGAAGTGAATTAGATAACAATATCTACACAAATAGAGTCTTATAATTTTGAGTGTAACCTCGCAAAACAACAAACTGCTTTTGCAGCAAGAAATTGTATTAGGATATCTTGAATGCTTTTAGAATGAAAATAAAAAAATAAAAAATAAATATGTACATGTGCTCCTAATGTTAAGGTTGCAAAACAAATTTGTTTGAATGTACAGGGTTTATTTATTTATCGGATTTTATTACAAGAGCCTTTGAGGTTTTGGAGCCTTTGGAACGAGGAAAAATACACTTTTCCTAGAAATGTATTATACTCGCACATAAAATCAACATTGTTATAGTGAAAGATTGAAGTGCATGTCAGGTTACGACACCCGGCTAAAAATCAAAGACAGAATATAACATAACAACATTAAGTTTCTATTAACTGAATAGTCACGTAAAATAACACAAATATAGGACGAATTACTTAGGTATGTATGTAGACTGATTAGTGTTAAAAGTTCATAAAATCTGCATAATCTTAAAATAACACAATTGTAAAAAAAATGTAACGTTTTACTCGTTTCATTATTGCTAACATTATCTATTATTTTGATTAAATATTTTATGATTAAAATAATTCATAACAATAAATCGTGATCGTAGCACAGTAACTGCCTCGTAAAACGATCAACGGTATGTGTCACGTAATATGACTGGTTGTTTACGGTTATTATTTTTCTGGACTTCATCAATGTTTTCAATTCAGTAGATTACAATAATAATAACAATAACGGACACACACCAAACTCATGAAAGAAATTAAATGTAGGCCATACAAACCTGTCTCCCGGCCCGGGAATCGAATCCTGGACTCTGCGTGGCAGACCAGCATGTTAACCGTTCGGCTACAGAGCCAGTTACAACGTCCTCGTATTTTCCACTCCATTCACATCACCTCTGCTGTGATCGCTTGGTTCTAGCCTACCTCCGGAATCGTTATACGCATGACTTGCAAATCGGTATTCTATAGGATATGTTACGGAGTGTACGGTGGAATTACACGATTTAATTCCGCCTTCCCCTTTCCATCACGGGGGGACTAGACGTAGGCTTAGGTTTCACCTCTATGTTGTGGAAGC